ATGTGCACACTGTTTGATCGTTAATAACTCTCTTGCTTTCATGTCTTTTGCCAAACTTGAGTTACCATTCTGTAGAACTCGGATAAACTTAAATTTATAGTATGGAGCGAATCGCCAATCGCTCCTCGTTACTGTAGATCACGGTATGAACTTTCAGCATACAGCGCCACTGTGGAATAAGCCCTTTGATGAAAGAATTTCGAAAATATCTAAAAATTTGTGTAGTAAGGTTTTCAGGCGTGCTGATTTCACTACATAACTTTCCACCAGTTTTTCGGGCTTACTTGATGGCGTATTCACATTTCTGGCGAACTTTGGAAAATCAGTTGTTACCTTAAATCTGAAATAACTCATGAAAAAAACACTGTGCTGACATGCAATTTTCATGATTAGAATCAGCAACCTCGACTAAACCAGTTCAAGAGTTTCTGGCTTGTCTGGCTTTTTTTCTGAGGCAAAATACCGCTTTCAATGGCTTAAAATCCCCCTCGAAATTCCTACCGTAGTCCTACAGTAATGAAGAGCTGCTGATAAGTCGCTCCATACTGCAAATCTACGTTGAACCTCGCTCTGAAGGATGGTGCCTCAAGCTCGGCGGCAGACAAAAAGCAAGAGAGTTATTGACGATTAAACAGTGTGCACATCTTTTTGAGACACCCTGTAAGTGAGCGTAGGGTCAGACGTGGTTAAGTGAGCATAGATCACAACGACACAAAAATTCGTTTAGTCGAAATTTCTCAAATTGAATATATTCGATTATACTAGGTTAGCCCGAAAGTCTGTTCGCACCATTTTCAAAAATTCATGACTTCTAGTTTATTCAAGCGATTTGCAAGTTTTCATTTTTATCTAAAAGAGCAATTCATTCTCTTCATAGCGGTACCTTAGTGGCTTTCTGTTGAGCATACACTGCGCGGATAGAAACGATAGAAGAAAATTACTCAAATTTTGAAAGTTTCTGTGTAGGGCTATAAAAAATCTGGAACTTGCAGTAGAAATCGAAGCAATCGGTTTCATAGGTTTTATTAAAAGCTCTTTCCAACCGTTTAAAATCTGTGCTGATTGAGCGTCTTTATGAGAAGTTATGTTCTTGAGAAAAATGCCAATTTAAATCAAATTCACCCTTTTGTATTGCTTGCTCGAAAATCACAACTTTTCATAGAGGCTCTCAATTAGCACAGATTTTGCACGGTTAGAAGGGCAGGTAGGCAGAAATTTCAAAATTTGAGCGATTTTCTTCTACCGTTTCTATCCATGCAGTGTTTGTTCAATAGAAAGCCTCTAGAGCATAGCTATGAAGAGAATGACTTGCTCTTTTAGATAAAAATGAAAGCTTGCAAATCGGTTGAGGAAACTAGAAGTTATGAATTTTTGAAATTGGTGCGAACGAACTTTCGAGCCAACCTAATATTATTTGAAATTTCTTTATTCGAAAACATTCGATATTCGATCGATCGACATTTCTCCTTTTGAAAAATCTTCGATAATCGATTATACGGCAGTTTTGATTCGAGGAAATATTTGATATCCAAATATTCGGCATTTTTTTTTTTAGTTTTCGAAAACATTCGAGATTCCTTGAAACTTTCGATATATTCGATATTCGAAGAAGAAAAAGTGTAATGGGCACATTCCAATATTCGAATTTTCGAGTATTCTAGAAGAACTTGGTCAAATATTAGGTTGTTCCGAAAGTTCTGTCGGTTTTTTTCATCGCTCACCAAACCTCACAGAACACCAATCCATGAACGGCCTAGGTGTCATTCTATTCATTTTTTTGTCCCCTTTCTTACAGCTATATTTGTTCTCTGATCTATCGCGTCTTTGCGATGTTATCGCAATGGCTTTTTGAGCACCTCAGCAGTAGCGCCAGAACTTTCCTGAATTTTCAAAATTTTTATCTTGATATTTTCGACGAGCGCTGGTGACTGTTATGTAGGGCAAACCTTTGGCTACATCGAACCCATTTTAGATTACGTGGGCCACGTTTATCAAGTCCGTAATAATTATTTATTTGAGAAAAACCGCGGCTTTTGAACACGTTTTACCAAGTGAAATTACCGCAAATTCCAAAAAGCTGATTTTTGAAGCAAAACTTGGTTATGTTGCATAAATGATGTTTGATAACAAACAAGTTTGAATTCGCAAAAACTTCAAAAGCTCATGCTTTTGCTGCAGATGCGCGTTTCATGACTTTGCAAAACCAAGGCCTCCAGAGAATTAATTTTTTGAAGTTAAAGCATATTAGGAGTATGTAAAAACACCACCTTATAGCCCGAGAGTTGCTCTATTTGACCCATACTTAGTCTTTTTCGAAACTTTGTAATGAAATTTTTGAAAATCAGCTCAACTTTGAGCAGGTAAAATTGACAGATGGAGAATTTTGGCAATTATCAAAAAAAGCATACAAGATTATGGTAGGTTATGTGTATTCACACGAAAGAGAAGGAAAAGCTGCATCGAATGCATGTTGAAACTTACTCAGGTCTTTATTGTGCATGTACAGTGGTCTGAAAAAACCGAGAAAACTTTCAGGACAACCTAATATTCGACTATTCGAATAAGCCAACAATTGGATATCACTGAATATCCGAATATCACTACGTAATATATAGCGAATTCGTTGTTTACCCATTAAGCCGCCGATAGTTGGATCATGGCAAACGAGGAGGCCGCAGACGTAAAAATTATGATGAAATACACTGATCTTTGGAACTGGATTGCTGCCAAGTGGCATGCGTTTTGGAACGCTGCCAAATTTCAAAACCAGTGACCAAGCATATTTTCGTAAAAGGGTCACACGTATTTCGAAAGGCAATAATGAGTGTCGCAATGATTTTGAGATGATTTTGAGACTGGATCGCCAGTGTCCGGGTGTGTTATTTGTACCTGCTTTTTTCTCGAGCTTGTTATCCTAGAATATGTCTTCTAAATATGCTGTACTCCCATTAGTTGCTTTTGAAATGATGCCAAATTGCGTAACAGCTTGACTTGTGCTAAATTCATCTATGTTCTCAACTCTTAGTAAAAATGCTCTAACTAAGAACAGTCACTTTAGGATTATCTTGCTTCCACGTGTAGACAAGAGAGTGCGTGAGTAACTTGGTCTCGCTGGTACTTTTGAAAGGGTTTATCTAACAATAGCCTTGCTTTGCTTGTGTGACTGGGTCCCGCTGGTGCTTTCAACTAGGTATCGGTGTGTAAGCGGCACGTAGGGCAATTCGATCGCGCAGGGCAACAGAGTTTTGTGCGTTTGGGCATTTCTCAGAATTGAAAGTCCTAAAGTGACATGTACTTGAGAATACGCTGTGAATACTTGAATTCGTTGTTTTCTCTTTTTGAGTCGTAGTTAGTTTTTCTTATTTATCGGTCTTCAAGCGGTACATAGGGCATAAATTGTCTCTTTGAATAGTTATAGGTCTGTAAGCGGCACGTAGGGCTACTCGATTGGACAGGTAAATAGATTTTTGTACGTTTGAGGGAATTCATATAATTTTTAAACGGTCTTCAAGCGGCGCATAGGGCATAAATTGTCTCTTTGAATGGTTATATCGGTCTGTAAGCGGCACGTAGGGCTACTCGATTGGGCAGGGAAACAGATTTTTGTGCGCTTGGGGCAGTTCTCAGAATTGAAAGCCCTAAAGTGACAAGCACGGCAATTTGAAAATACGCTGCAAGTACTTGAATTTGTTGTTTTCTTTTTGTTTGAGTCGTAGTTGGTTTTGGGTCTTCAAGCGGTACATAGGGCATAAATTGTCTCTTTGAATAGTTATATCGGTGTGTAAGCGGCACGTAGGGCTACTCGATTGGACAGGTAAATAGATTTTTGTACGTTTGGGGCAGTTAATATAATTTTTAAACGGTCTTCAAGCGGCACGTAGGGCATAATTTGTCTCTTTGAATAGTTATATTGGTCTGTAAGCGGGACGTAGGGCAATTTGATCGGACAGATAAAGAATTTTTGTACGTTTGTACAGTTCTTATGATTGACGATCTTTAGGTGGATCAGTAGTCGTGCTTTTCGGGGAGGGATCTCTTTTTTAGTAAAGCTTCATTTTCCTTTGGCGAAAAAATTGAAGGATTCTCTGATAAAGTTCTTGGACGATTGATTTCGTTGCTGTCGGAATTGATTCTGAGAGAAAAGTGTTTTTTGTAGTACACTAATTCTTATGGTGTATTTCTACTTCCAAAACGATAGATGTTCTGCTACTTACTTAGCGATCTTTTATGGAACTTGTTGAGAAGAACTGGAAGAGCAAATTCTCTTTGAGAGGGTGGAAAAGTGGGGGGTTTTTTTCATCTGAATGTTTCTGTGAGGAAGGGAAATTCAAGATAACGTGGTGAACAAGAGAAAAATAATATTTTCCATGCATAGTTGTGGCAGGAGTCTCGAGAAATGCTGAATGATTTATGGAGATTATCGCTTCTTCGAGCAGTGCTCCTTTTGTAGATTACTTCTCGCAAAAATGTTCTCAGGAAAGGAATGGGAAACTCATTTGAAATATTTATAGTCACAACTAAGCCCTTATATTGTATCTGCCCCGACCCACTTGCTAGCGACCCGTAGGGTCGCTAGTATTCAACTATTTGCTAATTTTGATGCAATACCCGAATATGCAACTTCCTAAGAAAGCTTCCTAATAAAACATGCAAATAACCTTTTTAACACCTGAATATTCAAATATGTACTACCCTGTTGCTCGAAAATTCGGATGTTTGAACAATTGTTTTCAGAGACATAATCAAACGTTCGATTGGACAATTTTTTTCAGTGCGCGAATTTAATATTCGAATAAACGCCTTTTTCACTTACGATTAATCAAATAATCGAATTCAACTCTCTATCTCGAACATTCAACTATTCAATTATCTGAATAATCGAGCGTTTCAAATAAAATATTCGAACATTCGGATAGCATTCGATTCCAACTATAGTGAACACCACACTCGAACCTTTTTTCTTGTGTCATGTGATCAGTAGAACATCTTGACACTTACCATGCTCTTAGCAATTTATTCGCCCTCACTAAATGATCTGAACCTTCATTTTTTGTATGACGCTGACGCTTCACAAACGAACAAGCAAAAACAAATTGTCTCCTACCTACTAAACAACCTTACAAACAATCGAGAGGCAGTCATCAATAGTTACTTTATCTCCTTTATCTCGTAATCTATAACAAGAATCAACGCTACATCTTATTACAACCTAAGCCTTGAACGTAGCCAAGAAGTTCGTAACCACATCCTTCAACTTAGCGTCAGTCGCGGGGGTGATTTGTCCTTCGGTGTGAATGGTTTTCAACAGCTCTTGTTGGGTAGCTCGAATATGTGCTAGGAATTCCTTCTCAAACTTGGTAATTACTGAAGGGTCAACCTTGTCAAGGTGTCCCTTTACTCCTGCGTAGATGACTGCGACCTGCAAAGAATAGATGAACGTGAGCATTTCTTACTACTGATGATAAGCGCTGTACCTGCTCTTCTATAGCCATGGGCACGTATTGTCCTTGTTTGAGGAGCTCGGTAAGACGAACACCTCGATTTAACAATTGTTGGGTAGAAGCATCGAGATCAGAACCGAATTGAGCGAAAGCAGCAACCTGAAGCATGTGTGTTTAAAAATGCAAAATAACAAAAGTGACAGCTGTAATGTATAACTCAATACACTTGGTAAAAGGCATTATTGGCTTTTGCCAAGTATATTATATCACAAACTAGCTGGCTTACCCGGCTCCGCCGTATGTTCCGAATAGAAAATTCCATTTCCTAACCGATCCGGACCAAACTTGGCACACATACCCTTCGGGCCCCGGCGGGTGTCACAGTCCACTTTTCGTTATCGATCGATGTCGATTTTATCGATTTTTTGCAAAATTTGAGCTACGGGGCTGGGAGTTGGCAGAGGGGTGTAATCGAGCATGCTGATTACGAATACAATATTAGTTTCCGAAACCGTGCATTACTTTTATCGATTTTATCGATTTTTTGCAAAATTTGAGCTAGGGGGCTGGAATTTGGCAGAGGGGTGTAATCGAGCATGCTGATCACCCCCACGGGGGTGATCAGCATGCTCGATTACCCCCCCCCCTGTGCCAACTCCCAGCCCCGTAGCTCGAACTTTTTCAAAAAAATCAATAAAATCGACATCGATCGATGACGAAAAGTAGCCTATGACACCCGCCGGGGCCCGTAGTGTATGTGTGCCAAGTTTGGTCCCGATCGGTTCAGAAATGGAATTTTCTATTCGGAACATACGTACATACATACATACAGACAGACATACAGACATACAGACAAACAGACATTCAGCTTTATATATAAGATTTCTTACACATAATCCTCGAGGACTATTCTTTGGTATCAGAATGGAGGAAAAATTATGCATTCCGCATAAATTCTTGATAATTACCCCAAGCTATCAACGAGAACTAAAAACGATAGTAAAAAGATTGCTCACCTCACGATACTGAGCGAGCTCAAGCTTCATGGAACCTGCGACTTGCTTCATAGCTTTAGTCTGGGCAGCGGAACCTACTCGGGATACAGAAAGACCGACATTGATGGCTGGTCGGACTCCTTTGTAAAACAGCTCAGTCTCAAGGAAAATCTGTCCATCGGTGATGGAAATGACATTAGTGGGAATATAAGCTGACACATCACCAGCTTGGGTCTCAATAACTGGCAAGGCAGTCAGAGATCCGCCACCAAGGGACTCGTTCATTTTAGCAGCACGCTCGAGAAGACGTGAGTGGAGGTAGAAGACATCACCGGGGTAAGCTTCACGACCTGGTGGACGACGAAGCAACAGTGACATTTGACGGTAGGCAACAGCCTGTTTGGACAGATCGTCGTAGATAATAAGCGCATGCTTGCCGTTGTCACGGAAGAATTCTCCCATAGCGCAACCAGAATAGGGAGCCAAGAATTGAAGTGGAGCCGCGTCAGAGGCAGTAGCTGACACAACGATGGTGTACTTCATTGCTCCAGTGTCGGTAAGACGCTTGACGATCTGGGCGACAGTGGATCTCTTCTGTCCGATGGCAACGTAGATACAGTAAAGCTTCTTCTTCTCATCTGCACCAGCATTAAACCGAGCCTGGTTGATAATAGTATCAATGGCGATGGCGGTTTTTCTGGAACATACATTCATTCAGTCAAGTCAGAAACACCATTTTACTTACATTCTCAATCTACAACCAAAAAAAAAACACGAACCACTCAAATTATGGCGCAGAAAATTGAGAATTGCCATTATAGACTTGATTTATGATATGATATGGTTTTCTGTGAAAATTCTCGTGGACTCCACTGCTCAAATTTATGATATATGACTCGCGTGATTTATGTGAAACAATCGAGTAAACTCAACAAATTATCAGAAAAACAAAAGAATTTCCAAGAATTCAAAGGCCTGCACGAAAAATGTCACGTGTTATCCGATAAAATTGATTCGTCCTAACTGATACTAATAAGACATGGGAACAGCTACAAAAAACTGTTACAAAAAGATTTGTACTCATAAACCGTTCAAATGGCATTTAGTTCCTAGATCCCGGAGACATCAAGCGAAAACAGTTATAGTGAAATACGATAGAAATATTGGAATCAAAAACTACAAAATTTTCCTACTTATGTTAAATTTAATAATACTTGGTAGATCTTCCACCATCAAGACTACTCACCCGGTCTGACGATCACCAATGATCAGCTCACGCTGTCCACGACCGATAGGCACGAGCGAATCGACAGCTTTCACACCCGTTAGCATAGGTTCACGTACGGACAATCGGGGAATGATACCAGGTGCCTTGACTTCTACTCGAGATCTTGTCTTGCAGTTGACTGGTCCCTTTCCATCGATGGGTGTACCCAAAGCATCAACTACACGTCCGAGAAGTGCTTCACCGACGGGCACATCGACGATAGCTCCGGTACGCTTTACGATATCTCCCTCACGAATGACTTTATCGTTACCGAAAACGACAACACCAACATTGTCGGGCTCCAAGTTCAACGCCATTCCCTGAGGAGTTTTTATTGAGAGATAGAAAAATCCAATGAACTGACTAAGTCTCACCTTGATTCCAGAATCGAATTCAACCATTTCTTCTGCCTGGATGTTCTTTAAACCATATACACGGGCGATACCGTCTCCAATGGAAAGGACCTATAGAACAGTGACAAAAGAAAGTGAGGAAGCCTTCCGATAAAAACCCACTTTTCCCGTCTCCTCCAGCTTCACGCTACTCTCCTGGCCTAGAATGCGCTCCTCAAGGATCTTTGATACCTCTGATCCACTGACGGCCATACTCCGAGCAGTAGTAGCAATTCCCGCATTTTGAGACACCTGGACTCGAACTTTGACATTTTTTCGTAATCATTTCAGAACATCTCAACAACAGGAATCAGATGCAAGATAGCTCCCAATTTTCAAGAATTTCACAGAAAAACGACTATTAGGTTGCGAAAGCAAAGAAATGCTGACAAAAGCAGCCAATACCTAACATTCGATTTAACAACAGGGTAACAAAATAGATCTAGATACACGTAGAGCTGTGAAGTAAACTAGGAGCTCTTTGAAGACCATGGAAGAAAGCATCGAAAGAAAATGTTAGATAAACATAGCACTGTCTAAGTTCTCCAAACACAGGCAAAATTTCGAAGTTCTCAGATCGTGTTTCGTACTTTTTGATAAGCGGATAGAACGTATCAATTACCAAAACCGGTCCCCATCAGCGAGTATTTTTTGTATTCATCGCTATATTAAGAGGACAATGTGACAAATTGCACAAAAAAGCTGTTAAGAACATAAGCACATGCACATATGATTTGCCATCAGCAAAAACACCAAGTTAAGCGATAAGAAGATTGTAGATCACATCAAACTCAACCTGGGTGGTATAATTTGTCATACAGCAGAAAATTCTTACCTTTACAGTGCTGCTAAGAGCGGAAACAAGCCTTTTCGACATCATCTTCCTGCAGGCGTTGGCTGGGAAGAGCCTTCAAGCAGTACAGACAGGATTTTTTGAGCAGAATGCCCCGTCCGCCTAGAAAGAGTTGGAATGAGTGCACGCGCGGTGCACCAATTTTGGTTACTGTATTTTAGATCTTCATCTTTGGGTCACCAATTCGCCATAGAGCGAGCGTTGGAATCATACGAAATTTCAAGACGTCCTCTTGCTCACTCGATTTTGCGAGAACTTTATTTTAGTGTTTTATTGTGGTGGTTTGTTTCATCCACCGTTTGACTGGTTCTAGACTTTATCAAAAGCAGTCCGGAGGAATGGCCAACTTGAGCGTTGGTCCCGGTGCACCATTCCAGTTTTCCAAACTTCTGTTACTTAAAACCAGTGCTAACGAGTAAAACCGAGCATTGCCCTCTCACTTTTTTCACGTCTGTCTTTAATGAATCCTGTGAGGAAATGCGCTTACCTTCAAAGGTTCCTCCGCGTTCGCCGTTTTTCATTGCTGTCATTAATGACTGAAACGAGTACACAAGCGAGTTTCACATCTGGCATGTTCTCACTTGTCAGTGAACACGTCATAATAGGTTTAGACATTTTTACTTGTGGCAAAATCGATATTTTTCATTTTCTCTGTCAAACCTCTAAGCTGATATTATGTAATCTCATATCGCGCTCCAAAGATGTCGCTTTTATGAAATAGAAGTGATGTTTCCAGAACATTATAGAGCTCTTGTCTTATTGGGTGGTTATAGCTTCTATGTCTTTTCGGAATAGTTCTTCAATTACTGTTGCTGCTCGCTGACTTGTCCATAGTCTAGAAGTTCGACCTCTGTAAATCTCGGCATGACTTTCATGACCGAGATCGCTAAAATATTATGCTAACTTTTCGGCAACCTTCGGAACCTGAAATGGGTGAACAATTTAAGAATCAATCTTTTTGCCCGCTCACGATGCTACCCACTGAAAGCGGAAAGATATATCGTTTGAATTCAAATGATAGTCTTTTTTTTTTGCGCTTCTTTTCTCACACATAAGCTGTATGCTTGTGTTTTTCATGCTTTCCCTCTTTTGTATCTGTAACTGTCCACCTTTTTTACGCTAAATCAATATGAACTGTGATAAAAGCGAATGACATCATACCTTGTGGTCGTCCATAGTGCTAAATCACTTTTGTCAATTGTTAAACGTTTTACTGTAGGCAGCCGAAATTTTGATATTGATTTCACAAAACGAACATTTGAATTTGTTTTTTGCTGTGCTTTCATGCCTTCTTCCTGTCTACTTTGTGCGCTATGATTTCTAAACTACCCAAGTGTGTATTGCGTTTTTCCGTATATGTGGTTTACTCAAACTCAAGCAGAAAGTACTTATTCTTCATCACTCAGAGACACTGATGGCACGTGGTCCCGCTAAGATTCAAGCGCAACAGAAAGCACAGAAAAAGGCAGAGGCTCAGAAGAAGTCACAACCTTTCGATCATAAAGGAGCGGCCCAGAAATCTTTGATCTACAAGTGCACCGTATGTATGGCTCAAATGGTGAATTTGAAATCGTACAAGCAGCACTTCGAGAGTCGTCACCCGGATCATCCTTTACCACAAGAATTGGCTGATTTGCACTGAAAGAACACTCTTCTATGCGGGAATATCCTGACAACCAGTGACTTCGAGTGTTAGTGAATAAATGTTTTCAAACGGTTAAATATGGCATTGTAGCTCATTGTGATATTTATCCATCGAACTTTGAAAGGTTTCAGGTTCTGCTTTCACAACACGGATTGATTTCAAAATCATAATACCCGGTTATCAAAATATCTTCATGGTGTAGTTTTACTTCCGTATCTAGAGATTGTCTTTTGCGTTATTTCCTCATCCTCACACACAGCAGATTTTATTTCGGTCAATTTTTCGTTTTGCGCATCTATCAGTTCAGCGCCGTCATTGTTGTAGCCTTCATTTCGAAACTCTTTATAGTGTTTTACTTCACTTGCGGTCCTACATAGCTATTTTATGCTGATTACTCTTTGTTTCGATGAGGCGATGAAAACTGTCATGTTACCTTTTTATAAATCGCAGAAGTAGCGTTGTGTGTGTACACAATGAATATATGCGAATATAAACTGGAAGATGATTTGTTTTGTTGCCTCACACGTCTTTCTTCTTGCCATTTCAATCGCCTGTACATGTTTTATAGCAACTTTTCAATAAATTCTTTGGGACTTGTTTGGCATTGCATGAATATCTCAGGATCGAGCACCTTCACTTTTGTGACGATAATAGCCCGACGTTTTGCTTCTTTACTCTTTTTTATCATTCAGTTTTTTGTACTAGTATCTCTCTTTATCAATTTTCTATTCTGTGTACAGAGTAAACGCGATGAGTTCTGCTGATGGTGGTTCTCTTGGAACAGAACCTACCACCGTAGATGAGACTGCTACGGCCGCTGATGAGCAAGCGACAATCTCAGAAGAAAGCAAACCGCAGGTCAATCAACAGCCTACCATTATCATACCATCTGAAAAAGAAGCAGCAGTCAAGGAAAAAGTAGCTGAACCACAATACTCGCCTGCTTCGGATGCGTTTCGAACTAGAGCTCCGTCAGAGGCAGCATCTTCAGTGAGGTGGTGCATATCTTGTTTTGTTGAAACACAGGCCTCATAGAGATATTCAGTGACCAAGATGATAGTTCGGAGAAGCGAAGGCGACGTTCTACACGGGATATCAAGAGACCAAAGTTTGATGATGAGCTGGTAGACAGTGGTGTGGCGAAACTACTATCACCCAGGGTAAGTTGTTTTATAGCTCTAAGATACAATAATAGAGCTTTGGTGTTTTATCATCAGTATAGGCCTGAACTGCGATGACATTTCCAAGAATATCGAAATTTCCAAAACAACTTGGGTGATGTTTTTTACGTACTGATTATGGAAGATACTCATTCTGCATGGTAACGCCTTCTTGCAGATTTCTATATGTTTTAGTCGAGACGCTATAATAGTTGGTGTTCTATCTCAATGTAGACCTGAACTGCAGTGACATATCAGATCTAAAAATATTGCTAAAACCCAACTTGGGTGTTTTCTGTGTGATCATGAAAAGTACTCACTCCGTATGGTAGCACCTTCTTGCGCATTTCTATAAGTGTACGACAGGGATTCCATGCTTAGAATTCACTAAAACTTAGAGGGGAGAGGGGTGCGCATGCTGACTACATTTTATTCGCTCGCTACGTGACGTCTCATTTTATAATAAATGTACCGATAAAGACCTACCGTCACCCTTAATACTGTAGTTACTGCATAATCTCAAATGGCGCTATTCCAGTATCCGGGCCCCAAAATTTTTTGTCGTGGATTTAGCCGAAACCTAACCTAGGGGGGTTATTCGACATGCTGATCACGAATATCACACTCTTTTCGCACAAAAATCTCATTCGGTGGGGCTACGGTAGGTATACAATAGGGGTCAGAATCACGGATTTGGCTGAAATTTGCTCTATGCGGGTTTTCCGACGTGCTGATCACGAAAATCGAATTCTTTCTGCATCCTGCGGCCTTTTCATGGAGTTACGGTAAGTACACGGTATGAAGACAAAGTTTGCTCCAAACTTCGCCTAGGGTGGTTATTGGACCCCCAAACATGAATATCATGCTGATTTTTCAAAAAAGCGCCATGTTTTTAGGTTACGGTATGTATCTTATATATAAAGCTGAATGTCTGTTTGTATGTCTGTATGTCTGTCTGTATGTCTGTATGTACGTATGTTCCGAATAGAAAATTCCATTTCTGAACCGATCGGGACCAAACTTGGCACACATACACTTTGGGCCCCGGCGAGTGTCATAGGCTACTTTTCGTCATCGATCGATATCGATTTTATCGATTTTTATCGATTTTTTTGCTGAGTTCACCCACGGGGCTGGGAGTTGGCACAGGGGGGTAATCGAGCATGGGGATTCCGAATACAATATTGGTTTTCAGGATTATCGATTACTTTTATCGATTTTATCGATTTTTTTGCAAAGTTTGAGCTACGGGGGTGGGAGTTGGCACAGGGGGGTAATCGAGCATGGGGATTCCGAATACAATATTGGTTTTCAGGATTATCGATTACTTTTATCGATTTTATCGATTTTTTTGCAAAGTTTGAGCTACGGGGCTGAGAGTTCGCACAGGGGGGTAGTCGAGCATGGGGATTCCGAATACAATATTGGTTTTCGGGATTATCGGTTACTTTTATCGATTTTATCGATTTTTTTGCAAAGTTTGAGCTAGGGGGCTGGGAGTTGGCGCAGGGGGGTAATCGAGCATGCTGATCATCCCCAAGGGGGGTGATCAGCATGCTCGATTACACCCCTGTGCCAAATTCCAGCCCCCTAGCTCAAATTTTCAAAAAATCGATAAAATCGATAAAAGTAATGGACGATCTTGAAAACTAATATTGTATTCGTAATCTGCATGCTCGATTACTCCCCTGTGCAAACTCCCAGCCCCGCAGGTCAAACTTTACAAAAAAAATCGATAAAATCGATAAAAGTAATGGACGATCCTGAAAACTAATATTGTGTTCGTAATCAGCATGCTCGATTACCCCCCTGTGCAAACTCCCAGCCCCGCAGGTCAAAATTTACAAAAAAATCGATAAAATCAATAAAAGTAATCGATAATTCTGAAAACTAATATTGTGTTCGGAATCCCCATGCTCACTTCCCCCCTGTGCCAACTCCTAGCCCTGTAGGTGAACTCTGCAAAAAAGATCGATAAAAATCGGTATAATCGACATCGATCGATAACGAAAAGTGGACTGTGACACCCGCCGGGGCCCGAAGTGTATGTGTGCAAAGTTTGGTCCGGATCGGTTCAGAAATGGAATTTTCTATTTGGAACATACGTACACGGGTCTAGCTGGCAGGCCCGGCGGAGCCGGGCAAGCCAGCTAGTAAGTAGATAAGTCGAAGTTCCGAATTTGCTTAAATTTTTGCCTAGAAGGGTTTTTGAGCTTGCTGTTTACGAATATCACGCTTGCTTGCTGCAACGCTTTATTGTGGAGTTACGATAATTTGCAGCCTATGAGTTAAACATTTTTCCATCTTACGGGCCAATCTGGTCACGGAATTCCACGCAAAGGCTTTAACATGCGGATTTAGCACGAACTCGTGATCAGCAAGTTAGATAGCCCTAAGCAGGTCTATGTTTTTGACTCCCTACCATATACATGCCGTGACTCCGTAGAAATGTCCCAAAACGCAAGGCGAGCATGATAATCGTGATCAACATGTCAAGTACCCCCCCCCCCCTAGGCTAAGTTTCAGCGAAATCCGCGATTTTGACCCTCTAGGTGCACCCACCGTAAGCTCAGAAAATGGCGCTACCGCGCAAACTCAATCTGATATTCGTGATCAGTATGTCGAATATCCCCCCCCAGGCCAAGTTTAGGCGAATTCCGTGATTTTGATCCCCTACCGTACACCCACCGTAACCTCAGAAAATGACGCCATCATACAAAAGCAATGTGATATTCGCATTAGCGGGCCGAATACCCCCCCCCCCCCCTAGGCCAAGTTTCAGCTAAATCCACGACGAAAAAATTTTGGGGCCCGGATACTGGAATAGCGCCTTTCAACTGCCATAGCAATATTTCTGTGCGATCTTGCAGCATATTCCTGGACGTTAGTTCCTCACCGCAGTACCGTAACTTTACCAAACCAGAAACGTGTTATCATGTGGAAGCAGTATCTTCGTAATGAGCTCAGATATCAAACGCCTATTTGCTTCGCAAAGTCAGCGCGTTACGAGTTATAGTGGTTGTGTCCGGTGTTGCGAAAATATTTATAATCTCCTTCAATCATCTGGATAACCACACAAAAATTTTAACTCAGGGTGCGCTTCCAAGAATATTGGTTTGATTGAAAGAGTATACGAGTGGTTCACCTGTTGAAGGGCTTATTGGAGAGGTGTGTTGCTGACTCTTAAGGCCGAGTTCATATTTATGAAACCACATCAGTTAGAAAGATGGTCATCCTCACGTACGAACGCGACACATCATATTCATGCTATTATCGCATTGCGGATACTTTAGACCGACCAACATGCACGCATGTGGATGAAGATTAGTTGTAAATGAGAAATGCTTGTATTTTTAAGGGGAAAAGTAAAGAGAGCCAGAAAGACCGCTGAAGGAGGCTAATGCACAACAATATAAAGTATATATCAGTTCCTTTGGAGCGAGGTGGCGCCGTTTTATGGCAGTCTCAATAAAATTCTAAATTTTCCATAAGGCAGTCTAGGAATCGTTGGTCATCCTGATTAGTGTTATTTTTCTGCTCTAGGGCAGAGGGCCTGAAATGTGATAAGAATCCGTTAGAGAAAGAGCAGACCAGGATTTTAAGACAAGGATTTCGCATGTGTTCCACACATATGTCAGGGCTCGGTACGAGGTGACTTTTCTAGCAAAAAAAAAACGAAGTCCCCCTCGACTTCCTCAAAATTTTCCGAAGTCTTCTTTGACCCTAAGCCCTAAACGTGAAATCCTCAAGAAACGAAACGTCGACTAGTAAACAACGTAACCTAAGTTATGTTTTTTTCGGTTACAAAAACGATCTCCTTTGCTTTTTGTGCCAAAAACGATATCCAGCTTTCTTATAAGCCACTGCCGAGCTCTGCACATTACTACGTATAAAAGCATGAATTCATTGCACTATCCCTAAACGATAGCAGATGGTAGACGAGGAGAAGCCAGACGAGATGCGGACACGCCCCTTGTGTATTCCATTATATGAGACATGTTTTCATTTGTACCAAACCGTCTCGAATTTTTTTTTCGCGCATAGCTGTCGTCTAGTTGGTGGAGGAAAGCGGCGCTTCGGGTAACGATCCAACGCTTCAGTAAGTGCTCTCGATGGTGGAGGAAAGTTTACTTGGCAAATTCAATGCTTTGGTTAGCGGGTCTCGCTGGCGGAGATGAGCTTTCATCTGGGAAAATCAACGCTCAAATTACTGGGTCTCGCTGGTGGAAGAAAGCGTTTACTTGGGGATTCAACACTTCGATTATTTGGGTCTCGCTGGTGGAAGAAAGCGTTTACTTGGGGATCCAACGCTTCAGGTAATTGGGTCTCGCTGGTGGAGGGAAGTGTTTACTCGGCGAAATTCTATGCTTTGGGTAACTGGGTCTCGCTGATGGAGATGAGCTTCCACTTGGGTAAATCCAACGCTTGAATGACTGGGTCTCGCTGGTGGAGGAAAGAGTTCACTTGTGGAAATTTAACGTTTTGGGTAACTGGGTCTCGCTGGTGGAGATGGGTTTTCACATAGGAAAATCCAGCGCTTGAATGACTGGGTCTCGTTGGTGGAGAAAAGCGGCGCTTTGGGTAACTGGCTCTCGCTGGTGGAGATGGGTTTTCACATAGGAAAATCCAGCGCTTGAATGACTGGGTCTCGCTGGTGGAGGAAAGAGTTCACTTGTGGAAATTTAACGTTTTGGGTAACTGGGTCTCGCTGGTAGAGATGAGCTTCCATCTGGGAAAATCCAACGCTTGAATGACTGGGTCTCGTTGGTGGAGAAAAGCGGCGCTTTGGGTAACTGGCTCTCGCTGGTGGAGATGGGTTTTCACATAGGAAAATCCAGCGCTTGAACTACTAGGTCTCGTTGTGGAGGAAAGCTTTTACTCAGGTTATGGTCTTCCGTGTTGAAGAGAAAGATTTTAGATAACTGGGTTCCGCTGGTGAAGATGTGTTTCTATTTGAGAAATCCCATTAGCGGTCCTGACGAGTCCCGCAAAATAAAAAGGCTCAAAGTTCAGGGTAGAGTATCAGTCCAGAAAACTTTTTCAGATGCTTCCACCCGATAAGGAGTCTGTTTTGGAGCAAATTTAATGATTCGGCGAAATTTTTTTTTTCAAGTAAAATAAAATGCAGGAAGATGTCATTGAGATGCACAAACTTTCTAAACATGTGCTTCGATCCACTTATAGCGACCCGCAGGGTCGCTAGTATGTAGAAGATATGGTTTACCGAGTCATCAAGACTGTTTCTTTGAGGATGGGTGCCTATCGTAGGAATTCCACAGATAGAATGCCAAGAATTCTTTGGAAGGAGAGACTTTAGCGAAATTATGACCTAGTAATCGCAGTTGAGTATCTTGGAACATCGCGCAGTTTTTATCGGACTCACGATAACGTGCCCTATCTAACCTACTTCCAATACTTTCTGGAAAATAGGCTATGAAATCTACTCATCTAAGTCGCACTTCTATTTTGGCTGCCAGATTGGAGTTCCAGTCCATGCGAGCCGTTTAGCTCATGAAAAATCAGGGCACTCCTAGGATCATCAGATGCAATGCGTGATTGTTTGATAACTTGTCCGCGTCTTTCAAATATCAAAGCTATCGCCATTGATTTGATATAAATTGATGCGTGAGTATCGGCAGTAGCAAATTGTAAACACGGTAAAAACGGCTTATGGATCTGCTCACTAATTTGGAACTGCATCTGCACATACTTGCTGTTTTGTCAATATATGAAAGTACTAAAGCGCCCTATGTGCGAGAGAGTTTCATCGATTGCAAACTAGCTGCTGAATTGACCACGTTCTGCTATTCTTCGGCCTATCTGCAAATGATCGCCGCCAATCCAGCCTGATCAAATTGTGATTTCTGTCGATCGGAAATTTCATTTGTGTTTTTCTGTGCTAGGTAGTGTGCATGGATAATGGTTGTTTGCATTGTAGGCAGTAGCAGCATTCCATCTACAAACATGGTAGTCAGCTATTGATGACACCCTTCTCTAGCGGATCATCTATTTCATTGTACTTTTTTGTTTTGCTTGCAAGACACTATTGTTTCTAGAAACGAACTAGTGCAGAACGATCAATGCACTCTCCCTCGATCAATTCGTCGGAGGCAGGCAACGTGAAATCTCACCTTTCGACAGACTCAGGATCAAATGCGAACGGCGAAAATAAGAACACATTTGCACAGCCGCAACCAGTTGGCAAAGGAGAGGAGAATGTGAAGGTCTGCTGTATATATTTGCAGAATCCTTCCTTTAATATTTGCCAACTTTGCTACCCAAAGTTGGAGTGTTAGTCTAATGTTAGAAATTGCGATTCAGACAGAATCATCAAACTCAACGCTTTCATCGGCCTCACAGAAGCATGCACACTCCCTGAGAAGGAGGCCTACACATAGCCTAGAAGATCGACAAGCTGCTGAAGAGGAAGAAGAAGCTGCAAGACTTGAGAAAAAACGAAGAGATGCGCGAATTGCGAACAAAGACATCAGATGCAAAGTTAGTCATTTTTTTCTGTTTTTCCTCCGCTTTTTCTTTTTTCTTCTGACTCTTGTTGCCTTCGTTATTGTCTTTTTTAAAGGAGCTCGTAGCTGCCACTGAAGCCGCTGATGGGATGACATCGGCTGAACTGAGACGATGGACAGCAGCGGATGATGTTGCGCTGGTCACAGCTGTGACACATGTCGGTTTGATCACCGCTGTTCCTTTTATACTCAACTCTTTTATTCTAGGTACACGATCTCAAGGCTGCGTATGGTAGCATCAAATTTAGTCGACCGTATTCCATGGAAGATATCGAGGAAAGGTAGTAGATTTTGTTACCGTTAAAGGATGGACATCTTATTCTTTTCTTACTGTGATTGCTTAAGGTGGTATCAGCTGATGTACGATGACACACTTTCGAGGCAAGCGAAAAAGCGAATGAATGAGTTACCGGTGGAAGAGATTCTGAGAATACAGGCATGTTTACCTTTCTAATTTTTTTTGGATTTTGTCTCCTACTATCGTTTCATGAGGTTACCTTGAGCGGTTCGTTGTCACTTAGTTGTTTTGCTTGATATTCTGCAATGATGATGGTCTAGTACAAACCAACGTATCATCATCTTTCCAAATTACTCCAAATGTTAAATAGAGGGTCCGTATTTTTCGATAGAGTGTATTCATTTTAAATTTATGTCCCATTCAATTTTGATCTGCATTCACATCATCCTGAATGCGAACCGTTTAGTCTCGGACTGCTTTCACTGTGCGAGAGGAAGAGCTTCTGAGAGGTCTGGACATAGGAAGTAACTCATGTCCCGATAGAGCTATGATGGAGGAATTGATAAAGAAGTACCCAGAAGATTTCCATTCTGCGAGAACACCACAGTCTCTACTTGACCACTGGCACATATTAAATTCGTGAGTTCCTGTTTTCATATCATAAGTTTACATGTGAATTTATTCAATTACAATATTTAACAACCGTGAAAATGACGTGTTGACTTGATACCGACAAGAATATTGAGCAATCACGAAGGTCAACAAACATAAAATAAAAGGAGTAGTTTTACGGGAGGAGGGGGGGGGAGGAAGAGGGGTCGTGCGTATGACTGCATTTATGCATTGATAGGGGAGTACAGTTTTACTCGCGCGAATGAAGACGTCACTAAAGCGCGCACATGATACAAACTTGACATGAAACGACGTTTTGACACTAGACTGAGAGTTCTGCTCGAGATTCCTAGCGCTAGAATTAAAGCAGAATTGATAACAGAGACTTCGACCCGGTAAAATAGGAATTTACTACTATATTTTACTTCTGTGTTCGGCAGCACGTGGATCTGCAGTAGTTTACTTATGTCTAACAGTTTTTACAGTTTGTAAGGTTAGAAGACGTGACAATCTGAACTTTTCGTATTTTTGATCACTTTTTCTACAGCTGTTTTATATCATCATCTCAAAATGATCAGAACAAATTCACCATTCTAAGTCTGCTATGTTCTTTCCAGAAATCAAATTATCTTTTATTATTCGCTCTCACTGACCAGGAAGTCTAAATCTTATCACAAATAATGCAGCAAGCGATTTTTTATCTAACTTGTCGAAATTTTCATTTTATCACGTCTTGTACCAGATCAACATATAGAAAGGCGGCACAAATGTGTGGAACAACTAAGACATGGCGAAGGGGAATGATTGAGTTGTCTTTATCGAGCTCACAGTTCTAACTTGCAGGTATGGCATATTGACGCCGGGACCGCAGTCGGCGACGATCGACTGGGAACTACTGGAGCGTACGTACGACCTCACCGGAAGAGTGAACTTCGACGAGACGCGCGCGCTGAACGCAGCGGCCGCGTGCGACGCCCGCGAGCAGGAGTACGCGCGAGTTGTCGTGCAACCCGTCACGGGCATCTGCAGCCCAGCAACTGACGTCCGCGCCACGCTGCGTGGTCGAGTCGTTCGATACCTCGTAAGGACAGACCGAGTTGTGCTCGGTCGCAGTACTCCCCGTGACCCCGTGGATCTCGACCTCGCACTCGAGGGCCCCGCAGAAAAAGTCTCCCGAAAGCAAGCTGTGATAGCTCGAGATCCATCCACAGGACAGTTCGAGATGACGAACGTTGGAGCGCGAACCATCTTCGTCGACGGGAAAGCGCTCGGAACGAACAATCGTACTCGGCTCGTTGACAACTCGATCGTCCAGATCGCCATCATTCGCCTCGTGTTCCGAATTGGCCAATGAGAAAAGGCGGATGCAGCTATTCCGCAGTGGTGGCCTCCGGCCTGAAATGATGTAAATTTTTATAATATTTGTTATCAGCATATGGTCTCAATCTTGTTTATACTCTAGTACCCTCCAATAAATAAGGTAATAATATTGTATCGTCATTGTCTAAGATTTGCCTATTTGTAACTTGAAAATGTACCAACTTATACTCTGTCTCAAAAACAATGTCGGATTGTGCGGCTCGGGTCATTCGCAACCGCCCTGCTTAGACCCCGCGCCGCGTTTGCGATGTATTCTTTGGACACCTTCCCACTCCTGCCGGCGATGCTGTTTGAGACAGAGTGTAATATTGGTTATTTTTCGGTTCAAAACCCATGGAGAAAAATAATGTTATACCCACATTACCTAGTTTTTGTAAAAAAAATTGGGACTTTGCTCAAACATATTGGATGGGCTGAGTTTTACTATGAAAGCGACATAAATTTTGACAAGCCTTACCTAATGGCATGTGCCGTCCGTACTGGCAGCGAATCCGAGCTGAGCTGCTTTGGCAGATTTTGTGAGTGCAGCTCGTCTCGTTTCGCTGGTTTTGACTGCGGCTTCTTCGCTGCTCCCATATTGAAAATGAAATTTCGCCATCCTAATCGCCTTGAGCCTTGTTGTTGCGCGGCTGACAAGACACCCTGCAAGCAGAGGATAAGAACAATTACTTACCCAGGAAAACGAAGTTACCTTATAAATCTGTGATCGGACAAATCTCGGATAAGAATCCTTAGCCATTAGTGTGAAAACGTGCTCTTCTGAATGCGTGAAAGCATGACGTCGCATCGTGGTATTTGTCGCCTTTTGTAGACAATCTAAGGTTTGATCCAGTGTTCGAGAGTCGACGTTAACCTGAATCGTAATGTGTAGGGCAAAAGCGCGAGAAATATAGTTTAGTAGAGCTATAGTGTAGTGTCCTCGTACTCCAACAACACTTGCGGTAAAGAATGGCCGGGAGCGGAAGCAAAACTTGAAAAAAAAACTGCTTCCAATGTTAGTGGCCATTTCCATGCACAGTTGTTGTCAGCATTATAGAACATGACAGTTTTCGCGCGCAGGTGTTGTCACCAGCCAGGGCACAGTATTATCGTCAAGTCTCAAAATCTTCGTAAAATTTATGCAACGATTTTCTCAATTTAAATTTTCCATAATCAGTCTACATATAGGGCCTGTCGCAGTGTCGGGTGCACCAGCACCTCCACTCCCGCGCAGAACTCTGCACGTGTTTTGCGAGCATGCCCTCTGATCATTTTCCACCATGAGCATGGGAAAGGCGGAGCCTCAATCGATTGGATGTGATTAGAGAGCATGTTCGGGGAGGAGGTGCAGAGTCCCGCGCGAGAGTGGAGATGCTGGTGCACCCGACACTTCAATTGATAAGCCCTGTAGAATATTCTTGGACGAAGTCAGAAGGAGTCAAAATTTTCTTCTCCCCTGCGGAATCTGATTCATTTACCTGTGCAGGTGCTCCTGGTGCTAAGAACTCCTCATAGATGCGTTCGGTTTTCTGGTCAATCTGATCGTTTGGAGAATACTTTAGGTCTTGGATGGCTATCCAGAAGCGGATGTTCTCCGAAGAAAACTCAGATTCGAGGAACGTTTCGAGTACCTAGACAAGTCGTTAGATCCACTTTATATACAGGTCTCTCAAAAAAAAGTAGTACCTGGCGTCCGATAGGATCCTTCACAAGTTCTTGCACAGATAGTCCCCAACGTTTCACTCTTCTTTCCGTGGGCACTTCTACCCTGAACAAAAATTTTGGAAACGTGGGAATTCTGAACGGTTTTTTGATGGAGTGGATGTACCTCCAAACCTTGCCGAAAGCGTGTCCAGTTCCTTTCAAGGACAACAGTTTGGTTATAAGAATTCGAAAGATCGAACAAAAATATTGGGATAAATCTATTTTCTTCAAGTGAGCAATTTTGATGGCAAAGCTTCACGCTTCTATGAAACCCCACAATCTTTTCCTAGAAAATAATGTCAATTTGACTGCACTGCAAACATTCAAAAAACTCCAAATGGGTGCATTTTTCAACCTTTTGCAAATTCAACATCATAAAATGGGAGGGATTGAGTGAAAGTACTTACGTATCGGTATTTAGCGTCCACAGATTCGTATCATCCGTAATCCAAGGATTTGATGGCTGTGGAACGGTAAGGAAAGGATCGTAGTCTACCCGTTCGTCTACCCATTGTACCATACTATAAGAGAAATTTTTGAAGATTTTTAGCCATATGAAAATTGCGCTTACGTGTCCGATGCCTTCAAAGCCTTCAACCACGGTTTCGTTTTCAAAGAAAATTTGAGTCGTTCCACTAGATTGCGATATCCCTGCGCAGTGGCTTTTCGTAACCTCCGATCCACCTAAACATGAAAAGCTATCGGAAATACAAAGGAAAGCCCTTACAGTGTTTGAATCTAATTGACTGAGATCCTTTTCTCGTCAAACCTCGAGCTTATAACGTAGAAATATGTAGAAGACCCGTTTTTCTATGATTTTTAGCATTGAATTTATAAAGCTTATTTTTAGCATTGAATTTATAAGCCTGCTTGAGTGTGATTTTGACAGAGTGAAAAATAAAAAAAGTTAAAAACTCACTTTTTGAACATGTTGTTCAAGAAAATCTGGATGACATGGTCGTCGAAGCCTCCAAAATGCACGTTCTTCTGAGTCGTAAACTACCTGGAAGTAAAAAGATATTTTCAAAGTTATTGTAATTATTTGAAAAATTATATTCAATAGATTGAGATCCTTCAAAATTTATAAATCAATGGGAGGCTTCAAATTCAATCATTATGCTAGACATGGGATCTGTAAGGTTGAATGTTCAATTCTAACTCTTGCGAAAGAGGAGATGTAATGATCCTACCTTATCCGCTTTCTTCTTTTCTTTTTGTTGCTTCAATTGCATTTCCGCTTGTTGTGTAATAAATCCCCACATATGGCCTAATAACTCGGCAAACCTAGAATAGCTGTGATTTTCGAAGTTTATACGTTTTTGAGCATCAGCGTTACCTATTATAAGACTCGGCTTCATCTTCTTCTAGCCCGTGCTTTTGTTCATTCCTGAGTAAACGTTTGTTGAGGTAGATAGCTGAAAATAGAGTTTTTATTCGACAAAAAAATGATGTGGGGGCTCAGAAAATCAGTCAAAGTTCAGTTTATTTTTCGTGAAATTGTCGCGACATTAGTCGGATTAATTTCCGCTACATTTATTTTTTGAAGTCATAATAGGAGTACAAAGTTGCCACCCACAATATCCTTTACAAATACCAAGCGATGACATAAGTTTGAACTCGGTTCTGCTCCACAAAATGATAGGAATATAGAAAGAAAGGTAACGAAATAAAGACCCAGTGCTTTTTTTTGAAGACGGAAACCCAATAGATACCGATGGAAAAGACCATGTAGATTTTAGTAACACTGCTTATCAAATAATGATTTAGTCGTAAAATGACTGATGGTATATTTTTTGAAACCAGCACGCTTCATGATTTCCTCAGCTGCTCTTTCACTTTTTCAGGAGAACTAAGCTAAAGATTTATATAAAACTGAATTTTTGCTTGGATTACGCGGCTCTCAACTTATGCGAGAGTGATATTCATTACCATTTTACGGAATAAAGACCACATAAGAACATAGCGGAGCAACTAGCACAAATAAAACCCTTTTTTTATTATCAGTTCTGGTGGAAGGTGGTGATTTTTCTCATAATGCAAGGTTATCCGGTTTGCTAGAATGGGTTTTTTTGCGGATAAGCAACACTGTATGGAATTTCGAAACTTCAAAAATTCACATTTGTAGCTCCCAAATGAGAACGGCGCTCAGATTTACGTAGCTTTTGAATAAGTTCTTTCAGTACCGTACCTTAAATATTAGGTTGGCTAGAAAATATTTCGTTTTTTCATGCCAATCTCCATATAAAATTTTCTTGTTGTTTTTACGGATGAATTGTTGAGAAGAAGTAGTTTATTCTACTATCATATGTCAACCATTCATAATTTTTTTATCATAAGGGACGGTTATTGCCCCAATATGGCCAAATTTCCAAGAGCTCAGTTCTTTGACGTTCTAAGATTCGTTTTCTTCGTTTGATGAAGGTAGAGATGATTATTTGGTACATGAATACAACAATTTCCCTATTCGGCGCATAATAGTAAACGTGGTCTGCCACTTTGAAATCTTCTGATTGAAAAAAGAAATTTTCTGACATCTGCGCCCAGTCCAAAAATGGTCCTTTTTTCACTTTTTCGCGCCTTTTTTCATATATAAATAAGTTCATTTCAAACAATGCTTAATTTCGATTCTCATTGAAGTGCCCTTTCCAGAGATACCAATCGGGTGAAGATTTGCATGCAGCATTTGCAGGAGCCGTAAAAGGACCGAAATTATTTATTAGCCAATCTAATAATTCTAACAAAGTCATCTAGAGCTGCTTGCAAATCCCACTTTGAGGGAGACAACATATATGTCCAATGTAATAGACCTTTAACTATGTAATTTAATAAGTAATACATACTTCAAGTTACGACTTTGTTATCCCACACTTCGTTGTTGCCCTTTGGAATGCCTTCTCATGTAACTTCCAACTCAAAGGCAAAAAATCCACTAAGAAAAATTTATGTGCTACCTCACTTGCTTACGAACACAATATATTAGGTTGTCGCAAAAATAATGTCCGTTTTTCTAGGCGTATATTCCAAATAACTTTTCTCCTTCAGGCTTTCTTTTTCGATATAGATTCTGCACATCATTGGAAAGCTTTCTTCATGTACTTTCTAATGGTGGTGAAATCAAGCTTTTACCTCATCTCTAAGATTCTCACCAGCATTTTGCACAGCCGCACTCAAAATCGAAATTTCATTGCTCCAACTTTCTTGGCCACAATTCAGGCGTAAAAAACGAATTCTTCTGAGAACATGGCTACTGTATATGATAAATATTGTTTACTTATTGCATGTTTGAATAAGTTTTTCGAATATACTTGAACTGACAAATCGAGCTTCGAAAAAGGTCCTTGATGCCTGGAACTCTATGGGTTCGAAATTTTTCCTGATTAGGGCAATCGCTGAAACTTTGCTCATTTCTGGAGGCTTAAAGTCAGGACATCTTATCTACAATTCATGCAGAAAAACTTAGCTATTCAGCGCATAAAGAATTCCAAGTTTTCATAGTTTGGGACTTCCAACCCTATCACAAATAGGCTTAAAAAAGTGAACAATTTTGGATTTCTATCCTTTTTAATTCGCAGAACTTCTTCGCTAAAATTCTTTTTATACAAGCGTATACTACTGGGTTGCATCTACAAAATAAGCTGATTAGCAGCCATAACAACAAAACTTGAAGGAATTTGTAATCTTTCAAAAAAGAGGTTTTTAAAGGCAAAACTTTTGGTTTTCTGACGCATGGTTTTCGTCCCGTCTGCGATATCAGTATATGCAGGTGCGCATTAGATTACGAAAAGTTTACTGCATCTGATGGTCTTGATTGCATCCAAAAATATGAAGACTGAACGAAGTTATAGCTTTTCAAAGTGAAATTTTGCAAAACGGACATTATTTTTGCAACAACCTAATACTTCCCACATCGAGCCTGGGTCACGAGGGAAAATAAAACAACGATGATGCAAGCTGCTTCGAGGACTTTCTTTTCTGGGAGTTAAAAACAGAGCTCATGTCGCAAAAGATGTAATATTAATTTGACTGAAATTCTCGAGACTGGAAAATAGCATGTGTTTTCATTCTTATTTTTTCCTGTGTAATCTTGTTCACACGATGCAGTCCTTAGATCAACATTTCTTGCTAAGACATTATCAAAAATAAAAGCTTATGTTGATTTACTGTTGTGATTTGATACACTTTTGAAAAAATTGCACCATAAATTAAGATGATCCAATCTTCAGAAAAGCAACCAAAATTCCCAGAATTCAGACTAGACTTCTTTTGTAAAGATATGCTTCGACTACTCCTAGCAAAGAGCCCACTTAATTTATTTGGAAATTACTCATCGATATTTTGTAAAATTTCACCACGAATAGTTTCACTATATTTCGTAGGATTTCGGAACCCGCGAACAGATATCGGCTTCGTCTCCAGTTGTTTTTTGTGGATTAGTCAGAATCTTGCAGTAGCCTCAATGACCGCAACTTAGCTGCTCTTTTTAAACTGGCTGAAAGCTGGTTAGTTAACCGAGCCAGCCGGGAAGCTTATCCGGATAGCTGCTGGCCGACTATCGATCAGTGAGACGGCTGTGTTGGAATGCCGCCAACAACACAGCATAGCACATTCGGAATCGAAAAGGAAAATGAACCGAAATTGTTCTATGGGCAAATGAGAGATGTATAAGTTGTAAATCCTGCACAGAAATACTAATATGTAACTAATGTTCTTTCAATGATTCAAGTTGCTATAGCCTAGAAAGAAAACCTGGCAAGATTCCACATTGCACATCATCATTAGCACTCAAATCGTATTTTTTGGCTTAAGAATCTAGAAGGTCCAGGAAATTCTAATTTTATCTTCAGTTGGTTTTACTGTTTCCTCCTTCCAATCGCGAGAAATTTGTAGTGATCAGACGTTTTTATAAACATAATTTTCGACTTTTTGACACGAAATTATACTTGTTTCTGAATAAATTTACTAATACACATGGGTCGAGCATTTGCTGCGGGTTTCAAAAATTGTGAAATATAATTTGAAAGTTTTACTAGATGTTTTTGTGTGAATTTTCAGCATTTTTCGAAATTTTCATGGACCAACCTAATAGTCAACATTATCAAAACAGATACGAAAGATGTAGAAGTAGTAATTTATCCCGAAGCACTGACTTTTTCTTTAGCTGTCAGCTTTGCGTGGTTTCCTGCTCCGTTTTGCAATCGCTGTCACTGTGCAAGAATTTGCACATTTATGACTGCGATTGCAAAATGTAGCTCAAAACTATGTCGCTAAGAGCTCTTGAAAACTCACGAATGTTTTTTGATTTGTAATGGTTGGTTACAAAATTTTCACCTTATTTCTCTAAGTTCACGAGCACCAATTCAAAGACTGAAGTGATAGGTGAATGCTGTGAGAAAACCTCAAGATGATCATAAAATTTTAGTTTTTTGAATCAGCTTGTCCCAAAGGAAGATGCGCGAAAAAGCAAAGAGACAGTAACGTCATCGCAGATTCTCGTGACTTTCTGGGCTATAAAGGATGAGCTCAATTGATGTCTAAAATCAAGAAAAGAAAATTGCAGCAATCGCCAAATTGGATGAGAAACATGTAAGAGACTTTCATTGAAGTTTTGTGGGATTTCAATTCACTCAATATTCATTTTACTCAAACTTCTTCTTAATTCATTGTCAGATCCAAGAATTGCAATTTTAAGTGAGCTGACCATTTTTAAGCAAATTGGATTGAGATAAATTCGAGGGTTGCTGTAGATAATTAATTTTGACCCTAAGAATCGGAATGAAAAGTTCATCACAAAGGCGATCTTGCGTGATTCTTTTCATATAATGGGTCAATGGCATGTAGTTTGTTTTATCTCAATAAAAATACCAATATTAGCAGAACGATTCTTTTTGATAAAGTAATATTAGACAGAAAAACAAAATTTCATATCCGTAGTATATAAAACAAGTTGAACTCACATGCAGTGTGAGCCAAAAATCACAAAATAAAGACGTCTCCTTCGATTTGCATTAGCTGAGATATAGGAAGAAACAAACGAATAATAAAGGTAACAATGATAATTATGATGTTCGTTTCTTTGTTGGAACGCATAGAGAATGTTGAATGAAATGACATAAGATGAATTTTAGGTCTCTTATTTGCAATCGTGTTATCTCATTATTGTTATTTTGGACGCCTTTATGCAAAAAAAAACTTTGGAAAATCGGCGAGATGATTTGCTCCAATATTGTCAATTTCGATCAAATGATTTGTTTTGCATTGACTTTCAGTTCTTAAGATAATCCACAGATCCGATATTTTTAAATCCAGTCTACTCTTACCCTACTTAGCTTGGCCCGCTGGTCTGTGAAAAAAAAGCACCAAATCATTGCAACAAGAAGTAAAAATTGTAAATGAAGGATTACATAGATATGCATAAATCTTTAGCAAATAACTTGCATGTAATGCATAAAATGTAACAATAAAGAAGGCGGAAGAAAATTAAAAATGTAAAATTGGAGAATTCACATTTTTTTGAAGAGTGATGAAAGTTGAAAGCAAACAAGCATTTTACTAATTTCGAGAAGGAAGAATGATCATTGTGTTGCGGATTCGGAAAAAATCAAATTGCGACAAAGCCTTTTGCCACATTTTCTATCAGAAAATTTTGCAGAATATTCATTGTCTCCTTATCAGTTCAGATCAGCCAATGACGAGCGAATACAGTAGTAGACATATTTTCTTACCGTATTCTACATTATCCGTTTGCGTGGCGTGTGACGGCCAGAAATACGGACGTTGAAGTCGATAAAGAGTTCCATCATCACGTACAGTTGTGGATGGTTCGATCACCGGGAATAGGTATCCATGTTGGAGCAGAATGGTGGCAAGATGCACGGCTTCGGCTTCATCTTCGGCGCAACCCTTAATGGGTAAGCTTGAACAGTGGAAAGTAAATAGTAAATTCATGCAGTAAGAGTTTTTACAACTAAATTGTCAGTTAGTCAATTTTTAGGCAAAAGCATTTTTAAGATTTTCAGAAGTGCCAGAGCAAATCGAAAAGAGCAAGAGGGGGCAATAGAATGGCAGCACCTTCTCTCCGACAAGGGCGACTAACGATTGCCCGGTGAGCGCTTGTGGTACGGCTACCCGGAAGTACTTGTGCGTGCGGAGTTGAACGCTTTCTTGAAGACGTCGGCTTAGAGTGTCCAACTAAAACAGGAGTAAGTTGACACAAAATTTTTATTCCTGCAGAAATCAACAATTATAGTAAAATTATAAAAACTGCGAATACAATCAAGTAATTTTCGCAATTTTCGTGTGAAGCTCTTCGTCAGAAATTTAAAAAAAAGACTATTAACAAGTAAAATTTCTTCTTCTTGTTCAGCAAGCTGGAACCTTTAAACAAGGTTCGGATTTAAAAATTATATGAAAAGGGAGATGAGCACAAGTCTTGACAAGAATGTATAAACGTTATTTGCAATTCAAGTAAGGCTTGATCTTACAAATGGCGTTTACGCAAAAAATGTGTTTCAAGAAATAAAGAAATATCGCACGAGCAAATTTTTGAAGCTGCAAACCTCTCAAGGAGCTTTTGATTTTTCTTTCATCTCACATTTTGCGATTTAATTTTCAATTCAGAGATAATGCTAAAGTTCAGAAGATAACAAGCCTGATGCAGGAGTACTGATGATTTTTTCATAATCCATTGAAAATATTGCTGTTTGACTATCAATCACTTCGTATTTAATTCTAAACAAATGTAAAACAAATATTTGTAAGCATTTATCGATTATTTGAATGTGAGGCTGCTAAATGGCTGAGCAAGTAAAGCTATGCAATTTCATCTGTATTGTTGAATTTTTGCTGTAACAAAATAGAATCCTGAAAATTTCTAGACAGGAAAAGTCTGACAGCTGCTCCTAGATGGTGCACTACTTTTTGCAAAAGTCACATTTTTTGATTGAAGAAGGTTAAGTGTTGCTGTGGTGTCAATTTTTGCAATTTTGGATTTTATAAAAATTTCAAAGCAGGATCGAAAAAGTATGTGAACTTAAAAATGGCAAGATTTTTGTCATTCCCTTTTTTGCCACGAGTTCGAGATGTCTTGACTCCGTCACGATACATCCAGGCTCGAGCAGTCGACGAGGCGATCAACGCGCCGAGCTCAAAGCTACACTTGCAAATCTGTCTATTTACGTACGCGGATCGATAGATCCGCTGCTGCAGCCGGCTGCAGCTTATCAAGCAGTACAGGCGGATGACAGCTACAGCACGGGGGCTGCTGGACTCGTTCGACTCCAAGAATCCGCTCACCTTAGCCAGTGGAATTGTTGTGCAGCTCATACACGATGACGAAGGACGACAGCGTGCCGCACACACGAGCGATGGATTTCCGATAATTCGAGCGCGGGGGGCGACCGCCGCCGTCGTCCGCCCCGCCGCCCGCCTCAGCACACACCCCCGTCACTCTGCGCTCTCCGCGCCGCCCCGCCGCGCCCCCCGCCAGCGCCCTCGGCAGCGCCGTTTGCAGCTTTGAACTCGCCCCGCACTAGTCATCGTTAATGGTGCAGGCCCTGCTGTTCCTATCGTTAGGGTCACGACCTAGAATGAATCAGTGGAACTCCGGACATGACCGTTCCAGTGCAATTCAAGCAGTTTTTGTCTGGCCCTTTCACAAAATCCGACGTTTGTCTCGGGTAGTTCAGCCCGCAAAAAATGTCAACTGTTTGTTCATCTGCGCTTACTGTAAATTCCCGGGATCAACACCCATACTGGGAAGCGAAAAGCAGCAATTAGAATTGAGGGGTATCCCATAGTACCTTATGGCAATCAGTTTTATCTTTCCTTATCGTTTTTATCAATAGTAAATCAAATTGATAAAGACAATTCTACCAGGTTTTACAAAAATTAATTTCGCAATTCAAGAGCGCCACATCCCGCTAATCCAAAGTTCTTGAAAGATTTTGGTTGCATTTGATAAACCTCTTTTGAATGGCTATATTTTTATTTCAGTCAAGAGAATGAGCTCTCGAATATAAAAACATGCACTTCGTGGTTATTGCCACAATCAAGTTTGGCCATTTTGTCAAATTTTCTATATCTGCCCCAAGAAAAATTCCAAGTAACTGGATGGAGCACATTACAGAATATGAAACATTTTCTTTCTCCATTCTGTAACTCGTCATAGTTATTAGAATTTTTGCAGAATTCTCCGAATTTTGGCAGGCCTATGTCAGACACAAACGCACCATAGATCAACAATTCTTCAGAATCTGGAATTTCTAATAATGGTTATGATTCGAGAGTATTTTTGCAGAGCGAGCATTTGCGGATTCAAATATCCAGTCTCTATTTTTCCGGGTACAGCTTGGGCACCCAAAAAAAACATGATTTACGATGATTTATCCATGAATAAAAATAAATAGAGTCATGAACACCTGGTTGAAAGAGGAGAAAAAGCTACATCAAATGATATCTTAGTCGCAAGCCAGGTGATGTTCTATGAGGTTTGAGTTTTGCTGGTATTTACCATTTTGATAGCATCAGAAAAATTATTGATAGCATCTAAAAATAAGTTTGAAATTTTTGAAAGCAAGCCCTAAATATTAAAAATCTACTGCATTGCATTTTGTTTTTCTCTATTCGCTTGTTAATGAGGAAAAAGTGTATGAAAATTTCAAAAATTAGTTAGTCGGACATGGCAAAATGAGTGCGAAACTTCGGCAGTTATCTTAGTGACCACAGGAGTATATAATAGTAAAGAAAATGACTTCTGAAAAGAGGTAAAAAGTGGTGTGTTAGTGTTAAAGTGTTGTCGTGTTCGAAGTGTTTTTATAATAGGCCTAATAATGAGAATCTCTCAATTATTTTCTCTAATTTTGGATTGAAATTGTTGAAGAGCCCACAGAATGTGAACCATTATAGTTTGAGATGATCGAGTACTTTAGGCTGAGGCTTATTCGTGCTGAAGGTATATTTCTTCAATGGATTAATTTCTGAAATTTTCGAACAGGTGATTTTCTCAAACATTGAAACAGGTTTCTCATAATTTTTGCAAGATTTACTTCTAGGGTATGTGGAGCCGATCGCAGTAGTCGGTTTAGGACGGATAGCATTTTATGTAGATGACCATCAAGGCTTTGGGCTTATCTTACAGTCGCCGCGATTTGGCTATTTGCCAAGTGTTTTTGGGTCTAATACTGTGAAACTACAATGCGTAGTTGCATATACTTTGTGAATTAGTGTTCTACCCTATCCTTCGAGTAATAGACAATTGAATATTGTCATCGAGTGGCAAGTGGAATCTCGTGGGGACCGAGATCTTACAGTCATGCCCATCTAACGCACTTCTGCGATAAGATACCGCTGTGCGGTGTTAACATATTTTTTTGAACCCCAATTCCCCAACTTTTGGGAAATTCTGCCAGTATAATACAAAGTTTCTAAGTCTTGATATAAAACCCTAATGATGTGCAGAGAGATAACCGAGTGAAAAGCTGACATGAGACAAGATAAAAATTGTTTTCAGAAATTTCGTGGAATCTGTGAGGAGGACTTTTGGTTAAGCGAGCTAATTTGAGGAGAGCGCAAGATGCTGGGGGCGGGGAGGGGGGGGGGGGGTTGAACTGCAATCTTACGACTTCAGCGTAACAACATTTTCTCAGTTGACTAGTCAGATAATCCATATACTATAAAGATCTTCTTTGAAACTGATCGCCATGGCATTCCCATGTGCCGCCGTTCACATCCTTGAAGGCATCGTCCACCCAAAATCCCTGCGCCCGATTTCTATATTTCCTAGATTAGGCCCTAAAAGTACATCAACTGCTTAACTGCTTACTCCCCTCTAGTGTTTCTTCCAAAAAGGATTTGGACGTGGAAATCGGAAATTCTCTTTTGCGCTCTGCCCCCTCTTTTCGCTCCACCCACCTACGAATATTGCCGTGACGCGTTCTAACGTGACAAGCAACGTCAACCCATACTGTGATATGGCACTGTTGCATACAACGAGGTTTCTTGTTACATACGAACGCCGGAGCAATCGTCCAAGTCTGACAGAATATGGCGTCAGAAATGGGCAATTTTGGGGCTTTCACATTTGGACCTCACATCCGAGATCAGCTCCATGGAAAGGCCCGCCCGACAACAATAATAACATAGAACTCGGACTTTTGGGTGGAGCTTGTTTAACGCATTCAAAGAAGCAAGCTATTTTTAACATGTTATCTTTAGTTTCACAGTTTCTTTTTAGATGCGGGGTACCTTACCAATGCAACCATGGGCTGGATCGTAAATTCCAAAGTGGTATACTATTGAATTTGTATGTGCCAGGAAATTTGCCCAGAGGGTGGGCAAAGGTGCTAGGTATGCTAGCATTCGAGTTAGGTGACTATTTGGTATGGACCAACATGAGTGATTGATTTTGAGGTTTTCAGGTGCTGATCACGAATGTAACGTCCAGTGGCCGTATTCATCACGAACCTAGTGGGTTCCGGAACCCACTGGGTAGGCTCAACCCACGAGATCGCTATTCACGGAGCTAGAGGGTTCGCGAACCCGGTAATGCGTTTTGTGAATATCGATCCGACACAGCGGGACTTTTTTCGCGTACCTACTGGGTAGCGGAACCTACTGGGTTCGTCGATGAATACGGCCACAGTTCTCGTCCTGCATGGGAGTGCGCATGTAGTATAGTAAGACTTTCGTAAAATCAAGAATTTGCTACAAGTTAATCGTGGACCCCAAGACTAACATATTCGTTATCAGTTAGTTTAAGAAGTTCATGAATAAGATTTGCTTTTTGGGTAAAAAAAATATAAAAAAGTAGGCAAATCATCAATCCTTAGATATTTGGTTGGACTAGCATGAGCCTCTGCCCGTACCGTACCATGGAAACCGCATTGAGAGATTTGAGATATTTTGTGCCGGGTTTTCTGCTATGATCTACCTACTGTAACATTAGTGTACGGTAAATCGACCATTGCACCGAATAACTGGAGATCCTGCCTAAAACAAATTTTCAATTTGGATTCTTTGGCCAGCCAAATACGACAGTAGAACTGAAAAATCAATTTTTACGCTATACCTAGTATAGCTGATAAAAGAAGCCTTAGTTTGAATGTGAATTTCATGCTTAAGATGTAATTCTAATTAAATTACGTGAGAATTTTTGAACTAATGGTTTCTTACCTTCTTACCCAAGGCAAAATCTGTCTTTTACTGGCTCAAACCGACTTTGATCGCTTCAACACAATTCTACAGTAACAAGAAGGGTAATCAGGGGTTCACTCCTTGCTTTCTTTTGGAACCAGCTCTACAGAATGGTGCCTGAACATGGGCGAAGTGCATTGAAGTAGAAGAGTTATCAGTGATCACAGTATGTAATCTTCGGGACGCCGTATCTTGAAGTGATCAAATTGGAGTTGACATTCCTGTAGGGCATGCTGATACGGTGCTAGTCGAAAGGCATCTGACTTAAGCTTGTCGATTCGAACCTATAACCTATAATCAACCTAACGCCATTCTCTCAGAATGTAGTCCGGCGACGCAATCACATTCAACCTTTGCCAAAGCAGGACCTAATCAAATGACTTTTTTGGGTTTCCCTTGTGAATAGCTACCTCGGTCTCTTCGTTCATGAGCCCTACAGCTGAGGCACAAAACGCAACACAATGTGACCGTGACGAGGACAACAGAGAGTTCAAATATTTGCGTGTGACGTAGACGCATCAGATCGTGGATGCGAATATTACGCTCACATCTCGTGGAGCTTGGATCGAAGTTAAAAAAAACACATAAAAAAATCCACTGATTGAGCGAGCTGGCACAAAAAATTTTGTGGTAGAAATTAATTGAAATTTTTTTGTTCAGATTGAGGATGACCCCTCCTGACAATTTGACATGTATGGAGGGAGTTTGCGTGACTAAAAAATTGTAATTACTCCTATTCCATTCTAGCTTCATTATAACTCTGAGATTTACAGAATTCCATTTTAGGCAAAAAATTTCTGGGTCGAAAAAATTGATCTCAAAAGGGTAGGATATAGATAAGACCACGTCTCTTCTTCGAAAGCACTTCCGTATTTTTGAGAAAGAATATGGGACCCCCATTGGATGACGTTAGTCGTGGTGGCTTCGAGCAACTGTTAAGTTGTATTATAAGTTTCTTTGCATTTTTTGTTTTAGTTTTTTCTCATTATTTTGCAAAGCATATGGCAAAGTGTTTGCATGCATCTGGAAGCTTTAATTCTGCTCCACCAAACTGCTATCATTATTTTCTCAATTCTTTGGAAGTCAAATGAAAAAATCGACCACAATCCGGAAAATGCGTGTGAAAATTCCATTTCCGACAACTATGTTAGGCTGCATCTTGAGGTTTGATGCTTGAAAAAGATAGAATGCACCTGCCGCAAGCTCTACTGTAGGTGCTAGATTTCCCCAAAAATTCATCTTACAAGCTTGGAGATAAGTCTGCACTTTGACGTCTCTTCGGCGTCAACGTTAGGCATAGGAAAGCACCTTGAGAGACCGGCCATGCTATTCCTATGATTCCTGCAACTCCTGCGATTCCTGTGATCCTGCGGGTCCCGTAATATTGTATATTGCGAAAAAACAATGCACACTGAAATTGGCAAAGCGCTCCGTAGTGCGGCACATCGGAAATTGAGAGAAATCACCAGAATTGCAAGGATTAAAGGAGTCGCAGGAATCACCTCCTGGAATAGTATGGTCAGTCCCTGAGAGTGGATGGTCGGCGAACTACAGAGTTGGCAGACAGGAAGGTCTTTAATCATCCATCGACGGTATAGGTTGCTTACCCCAAAATTCAGATTTTGGGGGAAACACCACACGTACGCGAAACGACGAACGCCTTTGCGCCAAGTCTTGTTCCCGACTTTTGCAAAAATGACATTAAACGGTTGGTGAAAGGAAGTGAGCAAGCATAAATATTGACAGTAGTGCATAAATGATAAGTCTGTAGTTTGCAACTGTTGTCAGGCTTTTTGATTAAATTTTATCAATGATTAGCGGGAAAGACTAAGAGAGAAAAAGATGTCGAAAATAAAATTTTCGTTTTTTTTTTCGGATTGCAGTCGGATTTTTCGGATTGCAGTCGGATTTTTCAATGAAATTCTCAAAGATTGAGAAGATAGTGAGAGTAGTTTTTAGAGCAGACTTAGAGCCTCCGAACGCATGCAAACACGTTGCCAAATACTTTGCAAAATACTGAGGCTCCGGCTACACTTTGCTCAAAAGCGCCCAAAAGCGCTCAAAAGCTCCCAAAAGCACCCAAATTTCTCTAGTTTTCTAATCTCCACTCACACCAAAAAGGGAAGAGACTTTTGAGAAATCTGGGCGCTTCTGGGCGCTTTTGAGCGCTTTCGGGCCTTCTTGAGCGAAGTCTGGCTGGGGCCTGTGAAACAACTATAACAAAAGAAAAAACGCGAACGAACTAATTAACCACCTAATATTTCGCCCAAAATACGCTTCGATGGTGATCGCGTTTTAATAATGTGAAACCTGCTTAACGATGAGATGCAGCTAGGATATTTTTCTAAATTCATTTCTGACAAGGTTGGTTTTTTGTGAGGTTTTTATGGTGATATCACCGCATTTGCAAACTTTGCGCTTTCTCCCCAATTTTGCAGTATTCTGAGCATTTTTCTCTTCCTTATATAGCTTCGTGCTGCGCTTTTTCCCTCCGGCCTTTCTCAAAGGGAAAACATAGACCGCGCATCGTGCCGAGTGTTTGCAACTACGAGGTTCTTTTTTTTTCCACATTTTTGGATGCCTCAATCTCATGGAGATAATCTGCTAGTGCTCTAAACTGGAAAGCATCTGTTCAAAGAAAACATCGTTGATCCTACTATATTCAGGGTTCTCACAGTGTCGCTTCCACATTTGCACAGCTGCCCACCATTTTTGGATTGCTTCAGAGCTTCTGCGCCAAAGCAAGTGGTGGTTAGACAGACCACACCATTATGACCAAACCTTGCGAGGGATGACCAAACCCTACAAACCAAAAATTTCCTGTTGCATGAACTTCTAAGTGAAATGTTGCGTCATGCGTTGGTTGTTCCGGTATATCATGCAGTTTTCGTGTCCTGTTCCGCAAGTGAGTTAATCTGGTGTTATTATCTGTGTGCTGACCAAACTCCTTTATTGCATATCTGCTACTTCAGTAATGAGGCATACATAGTTTTTGGTAAAAGCAAGTCTATCTCAGTTCTGCTCAAGATAACATTTGAAAAAACGCTACGGATGAGTTTCCAATAGAATTCTGTAAGGAGAGGTGAAAAAGAGCCAGCAATCATGAAGTCCATAATCTTAATTTTTACTTTGATTGTGAATTCGAGTCACAATATTTAGACACCATGAATACAACAGCAATAGGTCTAGTATCCATTACCTGCGCAGAATTTGTGTCCGCAAGTCAAGAATGCTGAACTGAAACTCATTCTGTACTTCACAGACGAGATTCACCGGATGGTAAAGACGCTAACGGAATTTAGACTACAGTTCGCTTTAATTTCAGTAAAATGGATTTTCAGCGAATCACCCACTACTGAGTTCGAACTAATGCTAGCAAGACCAAAACGTTTTGATCTGAAGGAGATCATTGTACCAGATCTTATCGGTCGTTAGCAGTTTTGGATCTAATAGGAAGACTTGAAAATGACACAAATTTAAATTTAGGAATGCCTTTATCATTATTCAACATAATGTACATGGATATACATACAACAGCTATATGAAGAAAACAGTATACACAACGAAGACAAGAGAGATCACTCTTTTTCACCAGCACTCTTCTTCGGGAGCAGCACAGCTTGAATATTCGGCAGTACTCCTCCTTGCGCGATGGTTACACCAGACAGTAGTTTGTTCAGTTCTTCGTCATTTCTTACAGCCAACTGGAGATGTCGTGGGTTGATTCGAGTCTTCTTGTTGTCTCTTGCAGCATTTCCAGCCAATTCAAGCACTTCAGCAGCCAGATATTCGAGTACAGCAGCCAAATAGACAGGAGCACCTCCACCGATTCGAGTAGCGTAGTTTCCCTTGCGGAGCATACGGTGAAGACGGCCAACGGGAAATTGTAGACCAGCACGAGACGAACGGGACTTGGCCTTTCCTCCAGTCTTAGCTTTGCCTCCTTTACCACGGCCAGACATTGTAGATTTGTGAATAGACAAACGAGACGATGACTACTGAGAGCGCGCAGTGCTATATATACCGCACGCTGGCCACAGGCCCCGCCCACATGCGAGGAGGTGGGGCACATGGCGTAGCCCGCGCTTGTTATATTCGCGCTAAGCACTTGCACAACATCTCCACTACCTCGTCACAATGCCTCCAAAACCGTCAGCTAAAGGAGCCAAGAAAGCCGCCAAAGCCCAGAAGAGCCGCACTGGAGACAAGAAGAAGCGAAAGGGAAGAAAGGAAAGCTATTCTGTCTACATCTACCGCGTTCTGAAGCAAGTTCACCCCGATACTGGCGTCTCCTCGAAGGCCATGTCTATCATGAACTCGTTCGTCAACGATGTATTCGAGCGGATTGCTATCGAAGCTTCACGTCTGGCACAATACAACAAAAGATCTACCATCTCATCACGTGAAATTCAAACCGCTGTTCGTCTGATTCTGCCCGGAGAACTTGCCAAGCATGCTGTATCCGAAGGTACCAAGGCTGTTACCAAGTATACCTCAACCAAGTGATCTTTTTACCTGTTTTCTCATGTACAGTCGCTTCATTTCATATGATCATGTGTGCCATTGCACACACAGTCCACTTTGGCGTCCTCATCCTGGATTTGCAATCGCAAAAACGCAAGAGACTTACCCATTATTATCGATTACATCAATTTGAGGTGACTAGTAACTAAAAAGGAAAGAAAATGCAAAGAGCACCTTGGAAACACTTACCTGAAGGCTTGATTCTCCCACGAATCCAGGATGGGGACGCCAAAGGTGAACTGTGTGTGCAATGACACACATGATCATATGAAATGAAGCGACTGTACTTGTTACTACCTCATGTATTTATGTGATTATCCTTGTGTATATCATTCGAGATTTGTTTCATAATTATGTAGAATAAATCGTAAATATGTGAATTGTTCTGTAATAAATAATACTTGGTTTTATGCGTGATCCACATTTGAAAGTATAGGAGAAACTTATGATCTATGTTTACGTCGAACAATGATCGATCTCATTCACTCATGTACTATACGACAAATGACAAGTTTTAGTTCCTTTGCAACCTTTTCAGTGCCCTTTCACGTACTACATACTCAAAGGCGACTTACTCAGCTTTATGAACGCTGCAAAGGATGCAAAATTGAAACTAAGGATGCAAAATTGAAACTCAAAGTTCAAGTGTGGTGCGTACTATTTTCGATTCCTCGACTCAAAATATCATGAAAGAGCCAACAAAGGATGAATGCAGTGAAGTTCAAAATTTCGCGCTTTTCTATTTTAATGGAGAGAAAAGGGTGAAAACTCTTACTTCGAATAGTTCTTTCCCTTTGCTCTAAATCCACAAAAGCACTAAGAAAGCCTATCTCCAAACTCCTAAATGGAGCAATTTTTAATTTCCATTATATAGCACCTAACAACCAAAAAACTCAGCAGTCTTCTCCTAACATAAATGTAGATTAGTTTGCAACGGACTGTCGAGAACGGCGCACATATCGATCGCTCGCGCCCAATGCAAGCAGCCCTGAGCGACCTATCTCTCACAGAATTCGTGTGCTGACTTTGGTCTATTTTAGGATTGCTGACTCAGAAGACTTGCTCAAAAAATAGTTTATTAGTGAAAACTGAAAATGAGATACCGGACACTTGTGAGAACAGTATACAAGAACAAAGATCATAACACAGAATTGTTGTACAAACATGAAACAGATCAGACGGATCAGTTTATCCTCCAAATCCGTAGAGTGTGCGACCTTGACGTTTGAGAGCATAGACGACATCCATGGCAGTGACTGTCTTGCGTTTGGCGTGTTCGCAGTAGGTGACAGCATCACGAATCACATTTTCGAGGAATACTTTCAGCACACCACGAGTTTCTTCATAGATCAGACCAGAAATACGCTTGACTCCACCACGTCGAGCTAGACGACGAATAGCCGGCTTCGTAATACCTTGGATGTTGTCTCGCAGCACTTTTCTGTGGCGTTTAGCACCACCTTTTCCGAGTCCTTTGCCTCCCTTGCCGCGGCCTGACATAGCTGACGATGAGACGAGCAGCGACAAGTGTGAAACCCGTCGCTGCCTTTTATTTCGTTGCGCCGGGTCACCACGCTGCGCCCCCGTATCGATCGCGCTCGGGCCGCGTCAACAAGACGCGTCCTGCAACGCATCGATTCCGAATTTACACGATGACCTTCGTTTGCCACGCACTTCTCTCGTCAAGGCTACTCATTTTTTGTCCGAACGACTCATTCTCGGTTTGCAAAGTGCGCGAACTGTTCCTCTAGTCCGTTTGACACTCAATCATAAGTTCTGTTTAGTGTTTCTGTTGGCAAATAGTCATGTCGAGAAGGCATCAATGCCGTACCTAATCGTAAAAGAGCTTCCATCATTTCGGGCATCCGCTATTCGGCACCTTCAAACGATTTCTTGACGAAACCGCACTCATCTGGGGGAAGAACTGAAATTTCGCGTCAAAGTCCCACATAAACTACTGTTCTTCTTTTTAGGAAAGTGACACTACTTTCGTTTTGGTAAACCTTCCTGCCATCTTTTCATGGTTCTCACTTTGATCTGAATCAGTTATGATCCCTTTCACTTATAGGGATTCGCCTCAATCAATCAAGAGGTTCATAACTGAAAGAAAATTGCTGAAATTTACTATTGCGACTCTTGAGTTGGTATTAGAAAAAGTGAAAAGATCGCCATTTTGAACGAATTCAGAGATTAGACGTTGGCCAAATGCCTCGATTCTGTAGCGTCTTTTCTAAATGAATCCATTTGTTTGATTGTAGTTCGATCGTGGAAATAAGTGCCTGTTGACCTTTTCAAATCTTTCTTTCTTCTAAGGTTTTCACATTAGAATAGAGCTATCAAATGTGGTAATCGGGGATTGTGCAGTCAACTTTTATTTCGTTGGGAAAAGGGCGGCATATCAGTTATGCCTGTAATGAATTATCGATACCTTTTATGAGGTTTTTGTTGAGAAAGCTCTGCCTTAATTTATGTTTTCAAATTTGCTTGCCAACTCGTCGTATACGCTCGTGATTTCTCTGCACAATAGCACAGTACTCTGATTTTAGGCGATGGTGAAGGACCTTGTCATCAAATGCAGAGGTCTTCCTTATTCCTGCGATGAAAGTAGTCTTCGCAAGTTTTTGGGCGGTAGGTTATCTATTGTGGCATTACAGTAACTGAGACTAAGATGCGTTTGTAGATAGCGGAATAAGCAAGGTGAACATCATCATGCGCGATGGTAAAGCTGCTGGTGACGCATTTGTACACTACAGCAACGAGGATGACTACAAAAGGGCGCTAAAGAAGGACAGGGAACACATGGGACATCGGTCGGTGATACTTTTTTGATTAGAGTCATTGCCCTAGTATACTTAGTAGCTTGAAGACGAGGTTTTCTAAGGTCAGATCTGATCCAGTTTTGTGCAAAATGACGTGAGCTTTTGGTACTAGGCTGCCCGCGTTTTTAGTTTGAACAACAGTTTTTAGCCAGACCATTATCTATAAGCAGTGTCCATAAAAATCTGAATATGTGGGCTTTGTGTTAAAGGCAGCGTCCAGGCAAATCTGGACGTATGGGGCTCTCACGTGGATAGTAATCTTGGGGGCCTAACTAGCCACTGCCCAAGCGCAGCTCAGGTAGTACTCTAACGGCTGAGATATTCGAAACTGGACCCCGGGATCGTATTTCACATGGATTCATGGCGCAAACCATCAATTCCGCGCGAGAACCCATGGGTTGCGCCATTCCATGCGAAATATGATCCCGGAGTCCAGTTTCGAGGCGAATATCTCAGCCGTTAGTGCGCTACTTGAGCTGCCGGTCGGATAGCGGCTTAGTTAGGGCCCCTTGATTACTATCCACGTGAGAATCCTGAGTGATAAGCCCTGGACTTCACAACTCAGACACTTTTTCCGACGGCCCGCGCGCCTTGAGCGTGCGAGCGCTCATGCCTCCCGCCGCCCGTGGAATGAAGGTACGCGGCTCGCTCGCTGAAGGCGCGCCGCTCGCCCGCTCCTTCGAAAGCGTTGTAGGACCCTGTTGTGATACAGATAGCAATCCTTTGATAAACTTCATATTTTGTCATTGAAATACGACCTCATACCCTCAGATTTATTGCCAAACATGTGTACAGGTATGATTATGGCAGATTTATTATCCAAAGACTTACAGAAAGACATAATACAGAATCAAAAGCAGAACACAACAGGCAACAACTATAAAATCATCAATACCTTTTACGCTAAGCCCCTACCGAATACACGTAAAGCATAACAGTCATGCTGATACTGAGAAAGCACTGATAGACACCGGTAAGAATGACTGATTAAGCAAAAAAAAACCGGAATCCTGTCAGAATCATGACACTGAGGCAGTGAACATGGAGATCTTGATGAAAGTTTGAAGCAAGGTACCATTATATTACGAAAGATGAAACACTAAAGAGAAGACATTGAACAATACTTGTAAAGAAAACACAAAAAGAAAAAATCAGATTGAATCAGGATGAATTGAATTGAATCAGTCCTAAATCAGGTTGAGCAAGTCAAAGCATATATGACATCCCAGAATGTGCAGCCGTACTGTCATGCGATTAGCAATATGCCATAGCGAGTGGATGTCCGATCCTACCATGCAATTCAAGCTGCCGTAAGTGACTTTAGCGCGTAATAGATATCGGATCTGATAAACTCCTAGAAAGAATTTGTATGTTTTTATCAAAAACAATGTACTCGTACTTACGTAATAGACCGCTTCGTTAAACTCCTGGCGATGCATCTTCGATAAAATTAAACGGGCTGCCCTGTCAATGTGCAAGATTCCGTTCTCAACGCATTCATGAAGTAATCTAGGCAACGGAAGAGGCTGAACTCCTCGTAGGGGAGTTTCAACGTGAAACTCGCGTCTTTCGTACACGTTACCTGAAAAACAAAATCTAGGAAACATAACAGAAAGGAAAAAAGCAAAAGCTATGAACCTTGTGGAACTTCTAATTCCATCTGAATATCTGAGGGTGCCCCTTCGTCTTCGACAATATTTTCCACAAAAGGATTCTCTCTACTGAAAACGAAACTACTAGAGCTAATAAAACCAGATAACAAACATACCCAGTGAGACATGGTGGAAAAACAGGTCTAGGCTTCGCATACGTTTGTGTTCCTCCAGATTTACGCTTGAGACTGACCGCGGCCCGATACTTCAAAATATTGTAATATCAGGAAAAAGCATAGCAAACAACTCTGGTGATGGCACCAAAAAACCACTCTGTACGAAAACGTCTTCCTGCATAGTTACGGTAGGGGCCGAAAACACAAATTGGCAAATGTATCTTTTCCCGTGCTTTGCTTAGGCAAAAGCCGCAGCAGGGTGTGTAGCGCACGGCGGTGGTCGTGTGTGCAAAGCTTCAGATCGTCCGAATCGCCGTACACCCGTTTCAAGCAGAACTACGTTTTACATCCGTTATCGTGTAGCTACCGTAATCCGAGAAAATGACGCTGCGGTTCAAAACCAATGTGATATTCGGCATCAGCGGGCCGAATAACCCCTCTGGGCCAAGTTTCGGGCAAATCTATGATGTTGGCCCCCTATCGTATACCAATCGTAACCGTGCATGGAGGCGTTTTCCTGCTGTGAAAAGGTGATATTCGTGATCAGCGCCTCAGATAACTCCTCTAGGCCAAGTTTGAGCAAAATCCATGACAAAAAAATTTTGGGGCCCGGATAGCCGAATAGCGGACGCAATACAGACGCTCAGATGCTACGGAATAGGGAGCACATGGATGACAATGGCTGTACACATGTGAACCAGAAAAAACTTACAGAGAATGGAGACGATTAGCCGGCAAAACGGACAAGCAACCAACGATGCGATAAAAAAATGCAACCTCCTACGGCTAACAACGAATTCAAAATGATGCTTACGCGTCTTGTTAAGTTACATGTTCGTTGCTCTTACATATTTGTTGATGGCGCGCCGCTCGCCCGGTCACTCAAGATGGCGCGCCGCCCGTCGAAGGCAAGGCGCGCCGCTCGCACGGCAGGCTTCGATGGCGCGCCGCCCGTCGGAAACGAGGCCACGCCCACAAATCTAGGCGCGCCGCTCGCACGGTAGGCTCATGAAAGCGCGCGGGCCGTCGGAAAAAGTGTCTGAGAAGTTTCCTCAAACAGCACTTAATTATTATAGGTACATCGAAGTCATGCCAGCAGATCAAGACAGCTCCAGTGGCGGTGGTGGCGGTCGTGGAGGCGGTCGCGACCGTGACAGGTAAATGACAATCTCAATCCAGTCATGATAGGTATACAAGACTGCTTATCCATGCTTTTAATTCAGAAGCAGCTTCCGCGATCGTCGTGATCGCGACTTTGACTACGGACGTCCTTCTCGAATGAACATGATGATGCCTGCACCATACGGCGAAGGAGTTGTTCGACTGCGTGGACTTCCTTACGGCGCACGCGAAAGGGATATCTATGATTTCTTCGCACCGCTCAATATCGTAACGGTTCGTACGTGGCCATTTCTCATGGGTTTTCAGCTGAACTTTTAGAGCTTCGTTGGTTTGCATTTCCTCAGTTTTGTCTGTTTCAGGAAGGTATTCTTCTTCCTGATGATCGCACAGCAGCTAAGACCAATGGTGAAGCATACGTGGTCTTTGTTGACCAGGATACTGCAGACAGAGCGCTCATGCGGCACATGAAGAACATGCAACACCGGTACGAGCAGAATCAATGTGCTTCTCTTGCTTTCTAACCTCCAGCGAGCTTGCTTCTAACAATGGCTAGATTTGCGCGACTGTATGTTGTGTCATAGGGGGAGACGTAGGCTTGGCGGGTCGCGGTTAATATGTATTCTTATAAACAAACTTTAGAGGCTTTGTCAAACATTGGCTGTGGAGCGGTAGAGACAAAATTCTTGTAATGGAAGGGATCGAATTCGAGTTAGAACTCCATCTTTGTTCATAGTAGTAGTAGTAGGAGGGGGGGGGGGGCGGGTGAAAAGGTGATATAAAATGTTTTGGGAAAGGGATACACAGTCGTGATGTTAGGTAAAGGCCAGTAAACACATTTTAAATCAGTTGGCTTGCTAATCTGTGGAAAAGTGTTCTCCAATCAGGGAAGCAGTTGGTAGGTTCCAAATGGGGAATACGGGATTGGCTTATCCACTGGCTTGCACTCAAAACAAACAGTTTCTTCCAGCAGATTTCCATGAAATCTCCTTTTGATCGTTTATTGAGGGGGGACCTATCCTATGATTGAGGACAAACTCTAAAAATGGTAGTAGAGGTTAAATATGGCTTTCAGATACATCGAAGTGTTTGCGGCTTCGTACGGCGAGATGGTACAATTCTGTGATGAATTCCGCCTGCGTGTACCACGCGGTGTTGCCGGGGGAGGCGGTTTTGGTGGTATGGCTCGTGGAGGATTCGAAGACTCTTATGGTGGTGGCTTCGGGGCTTTCGGTCGTCCAGGAGGTGGTGATCGTCCGGCGGCAGTTGCACCTTGGGATGACACTCGTGCAGGTTTCGCAGGCTCGCCTATGGCCGATCCCTACGCAGGATACGGTTCGTCAAGTTGGGCTGGAGCAGATCGTCGTCCTCCTTCACCACGTGGATCATTTGGGGATCCATATAGCAGAGTAAGTCACGGTGATCCTTACGGAAGATCTGTGGGTGCAGCCGATCCGTACGGGCGCCCGGCACAGGCCGAAGATCCTTATCTGCGTGGATCCAGAAGACCTGAAGACTTATTTGCTAGAAGAATCGATCCATATGAAATAGGTCGTGGTGCGTCGGATTCCTGGCGCGATGATCGTGCTCCTGGTGGACCGGCTGCTTATGGCGACTCATGGCAGGAATATGGTTACGGAGGCAGTGGCGCTGGTGGACCAATACGTGTACGTGAACATTGGCGAGATCGCGAAGATTCCCGAGGGTCAGCTGCCGCCCCACCTCGTGGACGTGAACGGCCCGGGCAAAGGTACACACTCAAAATGAGAGGGGTACCTTTCCGAGCTATCGAAGCGGATATATATGACGTAAGTTGGCATGTTATGTTAATTTGGTTTTAACTTTTCTTAAAGGTTTGGGCTTCTTACAAGCGTTGGTGCGTCATCTGTAATCACAAAAGAAAAGTTGTACAGTCTAGCAGATCTTTCGCTCGATATAGTGTGCTTGCGGTGCTGAGATTGGGCGATCAAGTTTGCGCGTGTACAAATAGCTGTGCCTGTAATGCTAACCACTTGCTCGCGCAAAATGTCTGCGTTACTGGCATGGTTATTTCAAACTGAGTTGCTTGATCTTAGCATCGCAAGCGCAGTTCGTTGAGCGGAAATTCTACTAGACTGTAGATTCGAACAAAGGTCAAGCATCGGGTAATTTTTGGTGTAAGAAATGTCCGGTTTGGTAGGCGAAAGCTTGTTTCTCTGACAGAGGCGGCGTACATAAATTGTGAAAGCTCTGATGGATTGTTCGGACACTTTTCTAGTTTTCGGGGTACCTTATCTTTGAGGCGGAAGGATTGGTGGGCATGGTTAGTGGTGTGATGACCAACTATGGCAGTGTTTGACCTTTGTTCGGATCTTTTGTCAACTTTGCGTTGCTTTCGGTTCTTGATTTGGCAAATTATGCATTTGGAAAGTGTGTCAAGGAAGGAGGTCACATACAAGGAAGAGAATGGATGAGGAATTTTAAAATTGCTTTTGATGCTAGCGCGTGGTTCTCAGTTGGGCTTCAACGACACAGGCCATGTTTCATACATTGAATCTAGTTGATTCTGCTGTCGATGTTATCTCAGTGGAAAGTTGCACGATGATGGATCATGGCTTGTGAATGCTAGCTCATGTTTTCAAGAAAGTGTGTCGGTATACTCGCTTGAACGGATATCATTCAGTTCTTCAACCCTATCCGTCCAGCGCACGTTGAAATAATTCATGAGGCAAGTGGACGACCTTCTGGAGAAGCTCGTGTCGAGTTCTCCAGCCGAAAAGACTATGATGATGCTTTACTGAAGGACAAACAGTATATGGGTATGTTATACTTGGCGATCACGGTAGTGCTGGTCTAATTAGATTATAGAGTATTCCGATATTTGTTGATTTAATTCTGCATCTGCTGAACATATTGATTCAGGGCCACGCTACGTGGAGTTGTTCCCCGATTTTGGAAGGTATTGAAGCAGGATCCTGCTGCGACACACAATTTATCTTTTTGCTGTCTTGCATGTATTTTGTCGTGTTAAACTCTTCGTTGTTGTCGTCTTGTAATGTGTTGTCTAATCAAAATCAGTTTATTTCAAACTCCAACCTTGTTAATGTTTTTGAAACCTCGTTTTCGTCCTCGCATTGGTCTCAGTTATCTCTAGGTAGTGCAATGAGCATAGCTTGTAATCCACTGTTAATTGATAAATCGTTATGCAGGTCTGTTAGTTGACATAGCCATAATAACAGTAATCTGAAACTATTCTATCTTACCGAAAATGATGATATGCACTTTTTCGGTAAATCGATGTGGATAAATTGTTTCAAACACCGGTTTTTGGGGATTTCCACCATTGGTGAGGACTAGAGGGCAACAGCGCTGGTTAGACCATGACGTTCTACACAGGTGCTGGTCGACGTGGTGGGTACGTGCCTGGTCGTGACCCGATGGTGGACGAAGTGATGCGAGGGTGGCAGCAAAGGTTTGAGCTTTAACTACAGTGAAATAAGTGGAATTTCATTTTTGAGTAAAAAGTTATGAATATCTGATTGGTGCTTGCGTTAATGTAGTACGCTATGATGCTTATGATTGGATGTCATCTCAGTTCCTGATCTGAAACATGTGCGAAAGCAGTGAATGGCTGAGAAAACCTGTTTAATGACCGAATCTACCGTTAATGTATGTATATCGTGAGATCTGACACAGTGGCCAAACCTGTTGGTATCGGATGTAACTCTGTAACTAGTCCGTGACGTTGGCATCTGCAATTATTCTTGCGTGAAGGTGTTTGCCATTTCTGTCTATGCATGCGCTTTGCATAGTATCAGTTCCCATATCAACGGTTTGGTTCGCTTCATCATTGGGTTCTCCGTTAAGCTGCCAACATCGGCTAATGAGAATTCAAAAAATTCTTAGAATTCATAAATTAATTAGAATTTAGAATTCATTCTAAGTGTGAAGGGAGATAATCTTCTCTCTTTTCATATTAGAGTCTTGAAGAGTGCGCACTTTGATGGTGTTTTCAGCTCTTTGTACAACATGTGTCATCAATCTGCCTCGAAATTTTCAGTTCATTGCACATGACCACAAACGATTAAATCGGTGTTATTCAACACCGTTAATATTTCCATAGCTTGATAATGTCTGCCCATTGAGCCCTACTGCCCATGTGCACGTAGCATAATTTTTCGGAATATTTCCTGATATTTTCCTTCGTCAGATATGCATTTCGTTTGGGAGGAACGGAGGATTGGTGGATTTCCCTACATATTTCACTGATTCTTGGTTGCGTTGATGTTTTGCTAAACTTGACGTATACTAGAATACACTTTGATGCATGGTTGATACCCGAAATATCGAAATTTTTACAAGATACCAACGAAAAGTTAGGTAAAATCACCACAGGGTTATAGAATGTAAGCAGTGTCGATACGATTCGAATGTAGGATTTGCTGTTCCAAGCACATGAAAATAAAGCAGTGAAGTTGTGCCAACTGCACGTTTTTGCAAACTGTGAATAGTAATACAACACTTATTTGGACATCGTAGTAAATTCTCTCATTTTGCTATCCCAAAGAATTCTTGAATCACAATGTCCATCTTGACAGAATGCATCATCACTAAGGAGATGAACGCTGGTCATCGCCAGAATAATTCGTCATCTTACAACTTCTTAAAACTCAACTCAAAATCCCAAATATGCGTGAATATCAGTAACGCATTTTGCAAGATTTTCTGATCACAATGAAGACTTTGCTCGACTCGACTCGAGTAAGGGTTGATGTATCGAAATTTTAGGTACTGCACGTTTTCCGACGTCTCTATCTGTGTGACAACGTTCAACGTAAATGGGAAGAGTCCGCCTGGTGTTTTGCGCGGATGGTTTCCAGATGGAAACCTTGCTGACTTTTATGCTGTTGGGTTAGAGATTCTCCGGTAGTTTTCATATTCCCATTCAGTTTTTGGTTACAGCTTGCAAGAGATGGATCTTTCTGTTGGAACCTATATTATTGATAATCCGAGAAAAATGGAAGAGTGGATGCAATGCATAATGCGATCACTACCTGGCGGAGGAAAAAATTTCAAAGTTGTAGGTTGAACTCTTTGATTTTCTTTCTGTTGTTACTACTTTTAGTCAATCGGCGGTTTCGTTTAGATATCCAGCATGAGGCTGATAGGAATATTCATTGTGTTATTTCAAACACGAAATTCCCCTGTGAAAGTCTCCAAAATCAGTGCTGCATATATTGCAACAGGAATCTCCATGCTCGTCAATAAACTTGGGAACAAGGTTAGATCCAGCTAGTTATTTATGCTACACATCTCCTTTCTGAGAGGTGTAGTCTCCTCAGCTGTTACATTAGTCTTACTCATTGCCCTTTTTTTCTTTGCTATTCTTATCTGTTGTTTCGCCCACCACGTGACAATGTTTTCGTAGTCGTTACTTCTTCTTGCTATTTGAGCCCATAGCTTGTTGCAAATACCTTGATCAGCTAACCTAAATCTGATGGAACTTCATCATTCATAATTATGTTTCACAGGGAGGTACAGCGATATCGTTGCGGCTGAACGATACCCTGGTATGTTTTGTAAACTGCCACCTGGCAGCTGGTACAGGAGAGTTGGAGCGAAGGAATCAGGACTTTAGTTATGTTGTATCGCGAGTTCTCTCTTAAACGTGTTCAACAACCATGTCGTTTCAGGGATATTTCCCAGCTTACCTTCAGTGACGGTCTTTCCATATACGATCACGACGCCGTGTTCTGGTTTGGCGATCTCAATTATCGGCTAAAAGTTGAAAGCTCTGGCTGGACTGGAGACCAGGTGAAGTACGACGTTCTCAAAATGTTTTGAGAAATAGATGATCCACGCGAATGCTTTTTGGAATTGATTTTGCTTTGCCATGATCGTTTCCATGTTTGTAAACTCTTTCTTCTAGATCCGACAGATAGCTTCCTGTTCTGAGTTTCCTGTTTTGCTCAAACTCGACCAGGTAGTTCATACCTTTCACAAGAAAGTGCTTTAACACGTTCCTTTTAGCTAAAAGAACAGCAATCTATTGGTCAAGTTTTTGTTGGATTCCAAGAACCAGAACTTTTACCATTTCGTCCCACATACAAGTATGACGCCGGGACTTCTACATGGGATACGAGTGAAAAGGTACTTTTGTTTATTTGTAAATGCCCATTTGATTCCCCTTATACAGGCTAGGGTACCCGCATGGTGCGACCGCATATTGTGGTGGACACGAGATCCCGATACTAAGCTGAAGTTGGACTGCTTTGAAAGCATAGAACAGATTTCGATCAGTGATCATAAGCCAGTGCGAGCAAAATTTGCGTTAAGGATACGTAGTATAGATCAAGTAAGTGAAAGAGTTGTTCATGTTGACTCTACAGTGAATCGATTATTTTTTCTAGGAAAAAGCTGATAAATTGTACGATGAAGCGATAAGGGAAGCAGATCGGAGGGCTAATGAACTTTTGCCTCAGGTTTCACTGAGTATAACGGAGGTGAGCTTTTTGTCTAATATTCTCATCATTTTAAACTTTCGCTTATAGGTGGACTTTGGTGAAGTTCGCTTTCTTGAGCCTAGCACTCGCTTGATAACAGTGAAGAATACTGGCAAGTCTCCTGTGCGATTCAAGTTCATTGTTAGACCGGAGCGAGGTATCTGCGCTAAGTGGCTTCAGATAACACCACCACATTATGTTATTCCGATCGGACAATCTACTCAGGTGGATGCCAATAGTGGCGGCTACTTGACAACTTCAAAATGAGTATATTCAGATATCATTGACTGTCATTATCGATAAGGAGATTTCATGGGAAGCGAAAGACACGAAGCTTCAAGATATTTTAGTCATGAATTTGGAACATGGACGTGATTACTTTGTACCCGTTGTTGCAACATATCTTCCCAGGTTAGTAGGTTTGCTTCAATAGAAGTATTGCCTATTATACGCATTCATGCAAGTATACAAGCACTATTTATATTTACATCCATATTCATTTTCAAAATGAATTCAAGAAATCAGTGGTTGTCATTCTATTTTTTAGATGCTTCGGAGTGTCACTTGAACACCTTATGAACCGCAAAGCGGAACCGGAGAAGAACTTGATAGATTTTGTGAGTGGGTTGATCTGTTAGGTTCAGTAGTTCTTTATTTTCAGTATTTACATACCTGGAATATTTTTGTCATTTTATCTTTCGTGGCTTGTCATCTTTTCTTGCTTGAAAGTTGTTTTTGCAGGGTGATGGTCCAGAGGATGACGAACTTTGCCCACCTAATGTTCCCCGCGAGGTTGGTTCCAGGGCTTTACAGAGTTGTCCTCACTCTTATGCAGATTCATGCAATCGTGTGTTTTAGGTGTACAAACTAGTATGCGCATTGCAAAAATTAGGAACTGACAAACTGGATCTCAACGATATTGTTGACAACTCAACTTTCATAAAAGTGCGAATAGCTCTGGAAAACAATTTCCCGAAAGATCTAAGTAAGTTGATTTCAGTAGTATGCAGTACTTTTTGGAACCAATTATTACAACATTCTCCTGTTTATGATCAGCGAAAGTGTAATCTTCATTGTGACCCTTGATCCGAATTATGAATTCTTGATTTGCTCAACAAACTATTATTCCGAAATCAGGATGTAGTTCCATTGGGGCGGGCCTAGACGTTCTTCTGAATCAAGGTCAACCATCTGCTGGAATATGTCTATGCCAAACCTTTCTTTTAATACACTTGGCACATGTCAATTTGTTTGACTAAATATATTTTCTTGTGCACGAACTTTCAATTAGACCCTTGACTTTAGTTCTGGGCATATGCACTGGTGTGGATGTGTATTTTGGTTTCAGAAAAAATAGCACTGTTCTTTTGATTTACATCACACGGCTGCTACGTCAATTATAATATATTGATGTCCTCTCATTGTAGCTCTGCTGCATGTACCAGCGCTAGCCTTCTACAGCGCACTCTTGCGATTACTTGAAACTCTCAAAGGTTAGTATATATCTGTTCATTAAGTTTCACCCAGTGTTATTCCGTTGAGATATGCTGTTATGAGTGCATTATCTTAGATCCACTGATACCCTTCTCTATACAGCGTGAAGTTCGAGTAGCATCCAGCGATGCCGCTGCGTGAGTTCAAATTGCTTCTTTATCTCCTTGGTTCGTCATGTGTGTTGATCGTTTCTGCTCTGCGCGACTGCCGCTAATTGTTATTTTACATGTGCATTTTCAACGTTATGCGAATTGCACAAATTGAAATGTGTATTTTATCATTTTGGCTGTCTTACAGTAGGTGAAAGAACAATTCTGGCTTGGTAGACATTGGGAAGTAGTCTTCGGTGAATGGAAGACACAGTTCCCTTATTCGTTATTGTTGCTTTGAGTGACAAGCATTTCTTGAGAATCCATAATTTCCATCTGGTGGCTAATTATACTGTTACAGCCTTTGGAGGATCGTAGCAGGGCTTCCACCTGCAAATGCTGCCACTCTCGAATACCTTATTGACTACTTACGTGGACTCATGCATCTTCCGGCGGCGGCAGGTAAGTTTTGCGTGATTTTACAAGGATTTACTTGTACACAGTGATTTATAGATCAGCTCGTTGCATGGGCTGATGTCATATTCCACGGAGGCGCCCTGCTGACCACATTACCTCATTTGGAACCCCGTGTAGTTGCTTTGCACAATTTGTGCGCATACAGGAGAGATGTTGCCACATTCTTTCCAAGCTGAAAACGCAATGCCTATAGCGTCCTTGTGCTTTACATCATTTTTGAAAATTCTCCTTTATCTTTCTTTCCTTAATAGGACTGTTCTATTATGCTGATCGCATTTGTTTTTCTACGGTTACTGGGTCAGTAGAAAATTTTTTGTGTATATTTGCCCTATCATTAATAATGCAGCGCATTGGTCACCTGTTTGTACAAATATCCTTTTAAGTTATTGCATCAACTTTTTAGTCGTTTTGATTCGAGCGGCTCATGGTTTTATTGTTTTGTAATAATTAATAATCACCACTGCGAAATATAGGCTTAGTTGTGCTTATAGAATTCTTGTCCTTATCCACTCAGGAGTACGCCATACTCTATAAGTCTCTCATTCTATGCGTTGTTTTAGTCATACATTTTTACCAGTTATGCGACGGTGACATTTTGTGATATTTCACCTTGATTTATGTTTGTACCATAAGTTATCGCTGGTTTTTGGTGACTCAATAGACTAAAAAATTACTCAACCATTGATGACAACCACACGTTTCTCGAATTTATACCTGCTACATCTTGCTCAGCTCTTTAGAAGTCATTTACGTTTCAAGACAGAATCATGGCATGGCTACTGAACGATATCAAGAAACGTTTCAATGAAGCTGCAGCCTCCATTGATGCGTCAATGAAGGAAGAAGATACTAAAGCTGCTGAAGAGGTGTGCCTTACATTATTCAATGGATTTTACTCACTTCCACTCTACTTCCTTCCACATAAAAGGTCTCTGGGATTTTAGAAAACTAGTACTGAAACAGCTAATGAAAAGGAAGAGCATGATAGAGGTGATAAGCTGTCTGTTCAAATGGAAAAAGTATCTATTGAGGAGATTCAGCAAAAAGGAAAGGCATTAGCATGTGAGTTCTCTACATTACCTGTACTTAAACTCAGCTCATCTATTGCATTTTCAGCTAAATTGTTCGTATATGCAAAGGATACAACAGAAAAAGCTACCAAGGGTATTGCCGCAGTAAAGAATGCAGTTGTCGAGAATGTAAGTTTTTGGAATGATTATCGCCTTTTTTGGCTTAGTGTTGAGCAAGGCTAATCAGAGATCACATACAAGCAACTACTTTCTCAGACACTTATTGGAGAGTTGGACCGCGAACAGGAGGCATTTGCTGCAGAATTGGAAGCTGCTCGCCTTCCTGATGTTGTTGAACCATGGGATGGTTTGCCTAATCGAGAATTTGCGAAGAAGAAGATTTTGGCGCTTTCCTTGGTCAGACTTTTCAACTCACCTTTTCTTTCTTTCGCCATCTGAAACTTCATCTCTATACTTAACGGTCATCATGTGGACTCTCACATTGGGTCCTTCATGACGTAGCAAACTGTATGTGTGTGTGATGTAGATGAAATTAAAAGGGTGCAAGTGCCTTCTTTTTCGCTCGATCATGTGGAAGAGAAATCAGTGAACAAGTAACAGACATGTGTCTAAGTAACGGACATGTGTCTCTTATTAGCGAGCGAGCTGCGTATGCAAGTGTGTCTGTGAATCGACTACAACATATATATTTAAGGATCAGCACAACTTTATTCGCGAATCGCCCGGAGAGTGTGAGTTTGATGATGCCACAATGCAAGCCATGGCGAAGAGACTTCTCGAAGTCGATCCCAATCTCAGTCGCGTTCGCTTCGAGCTTGTCCCTAAACAGTGAGTATCTCCAATCTTCAGTTTCTTAGATAATTGTGCTGTGAAAGTCAGTTTCACTGCTTCAGATTGAATGAAGAGAAATTCTGGCATAACTACTTCTACCGTGTATCCCTCATAAGGCAGTCTCTGATGGCAAATGCATCAGAAGCTCAAGCTAGAAAGGCATCGCCCGCACCTGCCGCCGACAAGCCATCATCATCTGAATCTTCAGTGGCTCATTCTCTCAAAGAGACACCATCCGTACCTACTGAGAAACCTACATCATCTGTGCCTGCTGAGAAGAAAGCATCATCTGAGGTCAGCTCTTGTTTTGCACATGTTGTTCATCAGTAAATACTATAGACATGATGTTAAAGGCAGTGTCCAGGCTAAATCTAACCCTCTCGGAATAGGGCCGATCCTGAATGTAGACCCCACGAGAGGGGCATCTGCGTTGTTCCGGTCTTCTAATATTGTCTCTGAATGGAGACAAGAGGTCTGCCACAGCCAAAGTCCTATCAGGCCCCGTTCAGATCCTTTCAGACTCCGCCCACCCATGTACCGAAAGCCGCCCGCGACCTTAAGACAGAGTCCTCAGAAATCGGGTTTTTTGGGGGTTTTAGGCTATTTGAACTTAACTGTAATCAGGACCAAGAAGGTCCCGAAATGGCAAAAACATGAGAGGCAAAATTTTGAGTGGACGCTGCCTTTAAGGAACATATACTTCAGAAAATTGTGCATGGTGTTTTTGTTACTGTGACTATGTCAAGAGATATTTTGCGAGCTTCTAGTTTCATCTGCAGGAAGAGGAATCATCAAAGGACGTGAGCACTGCTGAGCCTACCACGGATAAACCAGGTAATGCCGAAGAGGCTCCCGTTGAGCGAACCCAAGGCCATCAAATGGGTAAATTTGTGGTGTAGACTTCTTGTTGGGTTATGCTGGATGGGATAGTTCGGTGTTATCTGATCGTCTGACTATGCGGGTTGCTACATCATTACGGTAACGAGGCCTTGAATACAAATTTGTTATCGAGATGTCTGCTTAAAAATCGGTTCCAACAGTTAATTATTCGGTATCGGATGCATTACAGATGATGAATGGGAGCGCGAGTTACTCTCCGACCTGAATGAGTATGAGTTGGTTGCGTCTAGAAATGACAAATCCGATGAGCAGTGGGAAGCAGAAATCCAAGATCTGTTGAATTCCACGGATTAGCCAATCTTTTCATTGTTTTTGATGCAAATTATGAATGCCAATTTTAATTCCACTTACATTTTCTCTTTCCATTTTAGAAAATTCCGTGTACACACTTCGATTGTGCTGTGATAATTGAAGGGAGGTGAGCTTTTGTATTGTGAGCTGTTGTACAATGCTTTAGAATTCCATAAACTCTTCAAATCAGAGATTTGTAGCATTGGGGAAGCTGTGTCTCGTTTGGGTAGACTTACGTACCGTCTTCTTACGAATTGTAAAGCGTGTATGTTCTCTCACTAATTGGCTGAGATCTGCTCATTCGGTTTCCATGAATGACCATTTCATCTCGCTTCCCTGTCCTCACTGTTGGCGGCGCGCGAATGTAATTGATGAGAACACTTGATTTATTTCATAACAGCGCAGGACTATTAAAGCTAAGAGTGCGCAGAAATTCCAATACCAAAGGGTAATTTTCCCGGTAAACTTTTCGAAATTGTAACCCTGAGAGAAGAAAAAGGGACGCGGCGGCAGTCTTGAAAATAACAACGGCCATTTTCTTCGTCTCCACTGGCTCAAAGAGGGGGTGGGGACACGCCCTGAGAACAGGTTGCGAAGTTTTCGAAGGTACCTTACATGAGTTAGAAAAATGTGCAGTCGACTTTTTGCAACTGCAGTAATTAATTTTCGAAATTATCAGAGGTTCAAATTAGCTGTAAAATTTTCTCAGGGATTGGCTTCCCCCCCCCCCCTCCCCCATTTCCGATCTCGTACTCGAGGCGCTTCACCGACATTTTTGCTCATAATAACCGCTAGTTTCAATGCTGTATAGCATTGCTTCTCTTCTGTACTCTTTCAACAAATTCCGTCATTTGCGAGCAGAATATCAAAAAATTTCTATGCTTCGAAATAAGACAGGGCTTTTGTTCTATTGCATCGCAAAATTGAATATTTTGTACTGACTAACACCAGATCCGTCACTAGCATTTGCCGCTTCCACTCTGGAAGATAACAAACCATTAGTTCGACAGCCGAAGAAACCTGAAGGGTTTCTGCCCATGAAGGGCACAGCCCAAATAGAATTCCAAATTCTGAATCAGGTAAAGTTTCTGCAAGAGTGCATCACGCTGAGCTTCACTTAAGCGAGGTTTTTTTTTTCGAACATCAGGCGAAGTATGGAGCGTGAACCTTAGTCGGAATCGAAATGATGAGGCGGTCTGCGAACAGCATGTGAGTCGACGTGAGGGTAAGCTCAAGATTTGATAAGTTCGATACTCTAACCAGATTACCAAGAATATTTTGAAATTACGATAGGAACGCAATGACAACAAGATTGAACCTGTTGATGAGTGTAATGTGATGCTGTTGATGAGTGTAATGTGAGGCTACCGTGTTATGTGGCGTGGTGGATCGGTATCATGGGTTACTGGAGTCGGTATATGGTCGCAAGCAAAAGCAAAAGCAAAGGAAGAAGAAGAGAAAGGAAAAAGTTTATATAAGCTAGACTAGACTGAGAGAGGTAGACCGCGATCTTGTTCGGAAATCATTAGTATTGAGCGAAGGTCGTAAACAACGAAAGGAAACTAAAATATGAAGAGAGAAAACTATCTTAAAGGCAGTGTCCGGGCAAAAACTCGATTTTGAGATTTTGTGCTTATACGGGCCTATTCGCCGTGCTGAATCCAAAAATGCACATTGGAAAGCGCGAAAACGGCGAAAAAGGGCTCTAACACAGGAGGGAAATCAGCAGGTGGGCGCGGCTTTCCCCAGTGCGATTTCACGCTCCCAGCTCCCGGAGCGATTTTCTCGATTCCGCTAGCCGTCCTATCATCGCTACCGGCCAAGTGTGAATGATTGACTTGAAACCGGAAGCAAGAAGGTCGCTCCGGAAGCCGGGAACATGTATTCGCAGTGGGGAGGACCCCGCCCACCTGCTCATAAGCACAAAATCTCAAAATCGAGTTCTTGCCCGGACACTGCCTTTAATGGTTAAAGGCAGTGTCCGGGCAAAAACTCGATTTCAAGATTTTGTGCTTACTTGGGCCTATTCGCTACGCTGAATCCGAAAATGCACATTGTAGAGCGCGAAAATGGCGAAAAACGGCCCCTAACACAGGAGGGAAATGAGCAGGTGGGCGGGGTCCTCCCCACTGTGAATTCACGCTCCCAGCTTCCGGAGCGATCTTCTCTCTTCCGGTTTCAAGTCAATCATTCACACTTGGCCGTTGGCGATGTTAGGAAGGCTAGCGGAATCGCGAAGACCGCTACAGAAGCTGGGAGCGTGACTTCACATTGGGGAAGACCCCGCCCACTTGCTGTTTCCCTCCTGCGCTAGAGCCCTTTTTTGCCGTTTTCGCGCTTTCCAGAGTGGATTCTCGGATTCAGCATGGCAAATAGGCCCGTATAAGCACAAAATCTCAAAATCGAGTTTCTGCCCGGACACTGCCTTTAAGTTGTTGAAACGAAATATGATTCGGATTTTGCCAAACTTGGGTAATTGCTATTTTGTTAGTTGGTTTATTTACACTGTTCTTTTCTAGTGTTGCCGCAAATCTGATTGAGAAGTACTATGTTCCGTGCTTTTGAGCTCTTGAAAATGAATCCTAAAAACCATTGGTCGTGATCAATTAGTTCAGAGAATCCTGAACTAATGTGCAAAGAGTAAATCCATCGCCCTTCGGTACAAATCGCTACGCTGGAAGGCAGTAGGTCGGCAGAATGAGACCCGTGGCAAAACAAGGTCACAGGGTAGGAGCCCTCATAATGGAACCTATGGGCCAAAGTTCGATCTTTCTCTGCCACTTCCAACTCCCCAAATTTCAAAGCGAAAGCAGCGTCATCTCCTGTCCTCTCCGAATCCGCCCACCCCATGGACGAGTGAACGCGAAGCTCGTCATGGCGAAGACGCAGAGTCGTTGCGGGACCTCATGCTTATAGCATTGCGGCTCGCGCTCGGGTGGAGGACTATATGACGCCGAAAAAGGGCGGTTCCCGCGGTTATTTGCGACAAATACGCACCCTTGTACATGCGCGGACATGCGTTCCTGCAGGGAATCCGCGCGGGACTCTTCCAAATTCGGCGACATATAGTCCTCCACCCCTCGCGCTCTGACCGTGGAAGTCGGTCGTGTGTAGAGGAACGAACGCCTCAATTCGGCACCGTCGCCGCGGACTGCTGGTCCTTCCGTCCTACTGTTGTGCATCGTGTTAGGACCAGTGGTCCGCGGAGGCGGTGACCTTGTTTTGTCACGGGTCTCATTCTGCCGATCTACTGCCTTTAATTCTTGAATATAGCTGCCTAGCCAATCACGACTGTGGATAATATCCCAGTTATACATTTCTTTTCATGCAGACCGATGTAATCGTATCTGGAGTATGATGTCCCTGTCTTTTCCAAAATAGCTATCTCTAGGTAATTGCTCTCCCTGTAAGCCTGATGTCGAGTTTGCACATGGAAGGTGATAGGGATCCCACTGAATCAGTTTTATTACGTTGCCACTGAAGTATTTCCCTTTATTTTTGAACAAGCGGCACAGTCGGCAGAACAAAGGTTTACAGAAGCTCTTGGTAGCGTTCGATGTAGTTTTTCATGCTCTCTCGAATGGTCATCTTTATTTTACAGTTGAAACAACGCTCTCAGAAAATTACTATGAACTGCGACCCATGCTTTTTACCAACTTCAAGTTCCGCTGTTTTTCCAAATTCTTGTGCTAACTCCCAGAAGAAGTCCAAAGTAAGCTGCGGATAGAGCAAACAAATTAGGATACAAAACAATTTCGTTCTCCTTCTCAGAGCTCTCCATAAATTTCTGACAGACTTTCCAACAACACCATCAAATTTTTGCAGACGCATACCAAACGCAGGCTCGTCAAACTTCAATAAACCCTAATTTTTGACACTTTCAAAAAGAGACTAACATTCAGCGCTAATTTTACAAAACAAATGAGCGTTCCGACGCTCGAAATATCGGATTTTTATTTTGCCGGGTACAGCTTGAGGTTCCTTTAAAAACATGAATTTTGTCGATTTTATCCTCCAAGACTTGTCGAATCAGGGTCTCAAAACATATCTCTGAAAGAGGAGAAAGTGCTGCATCGAATAACACCCGGCTTGCTTGCTGGTGTTCTATGAGGTTAAGTTGACGAAATATGGAATTTGATAGTATCAAGAAAATAATCTTGAAAATTTTGGAAAGTAAACTTTGGAAGGGGCAGAAATTGTTTTGTGTCCTACTTTGTTTACTCTATCCGCAGGTCACTTGGATTTCTTGAGGGAATTAGCACAAAAATTTAGAAAAATAGCGGAACTTCACCTTGGTAGAAAGCTTGGGTCGCAGTTTATAGTAATTTTCTGAGAGCTCGTTGTTTCTACTACAAAATAAAGAAGACCACTAGAAAGAGTATGAAAAACTGCATCGCTAACAAGAGCTTCTGTAATTCTTTGTTCTGCGGACTGTGGCGCGTGTTCCAAAGAGAAATTACTTCCGGTACGACCTAATATACAACTGAGCTCCTAACTCGCGGGAAAAAAACGGATTGCGATAAATTTTTCTGTCGCTACATATATTAGGTTGGTGCAGAAATAATGCGCGTTTTGTGAGTTCTCACTTTGGAGTGCTATAACTTTCTAAAAAATCCATATTTCTCAGTGCGGCAAAGTCCATCAGAGACACCAAACCTCTCTCTATACAGCGCACATTAAATTATGCTAACATCGCAAAACAGTGGAAAAATATGGATTGATAAGCAAAAAAATTTTTTTTCGGAAACCTCGTTTTCAACTGATCATAACTTCCTTCAAGATTTGTCGGTATAAATGAAATGTTGACTGTCTTGCAGCCGTAAGCCAGTAGTACAAAAAAATTTGAAAGGGGCTTGAACAAAGAAGAATTGCGAAAAGGGAAAAATAATATTCAAAATTGTCCCCTTTTTTCGACGTTTTTTCGTAGCCCTCAAAATCCCAAAATATGGAGATTTTTGATTTTCTGTAAACTGAACAGCTTCCACATCTCTGCAAAATTTCATTGCACTTACTTTTTTGGCCAGAATTTGAGCGCGAGTAAACGCATTCTCTTGAAAATTTAAACTGTCAACAAAAGGCCCACCCTTACGCTTGTAGAAATGAGCGAAGCTTTAGCGATTGCCCTCTTCAAAGGAAATTTACGGGCCACAGAATGGTCAAAACCATCACTCATGTTGAGGAGCC